AAAAAGCTCGACTCCTGACAGACACGGACAGGTCACTCCACCGGCCCCCCGGAACCAAACCCGCTCCCCCGGACGCCCGGAAGGCTCGGCTCGGCGGCTCGGCGCGGCTCGGCTCCGCCTTGGATGGCTTCCAGGCGCTGCAGGCCGCCGGTGCTCAGCAGCTCCCGGCACTTCTCGCGGGTCTTGGGGCCCAGCCCGGAGATGCGCTCGAAGTCCTGGCTCGCGCTGGGCTGGGGTTTGGGGTTCCGGGGGGGGAGTGGGGGGTTCTGGCAGGTCCGCTGGTGGGTCAAAACCAGTTTCGAAGGGACTCTAAAAGAAAAACCCATTTTAGGGGGTCTAATAGAAGGCACACCCATGGCAAACCCATGGCACACCCATATTCCCTTCGGCTCCAAATGAACATGGGTAACTTTTCCCAGTGGGGATTGAGTTATTTTTTGTAGTGGTTTCCCGAACAGTCCCACGTAAAGGACGTTTAGTCAACCCCCATTTCTTAAAATCACCGGAAGGCGATGGTTCTCGGTTCCCCTAAAAAAATCGCGGTTTTGGTCTGGGAACAATGGTTTTGAAGCGCATTGCCAGAGAAAAAAGCCAACCGAATTCAACGGTTCAAATGGTTGGCTTCCAAGGAAATTGAACAGGAAGGCAGGACCCTTCCTGCAAATGGTTGGTGTTAAAGTACTTGGTTTCTAAGGAGATTAGGGACCGGAAAAAAAAGGTTTCCTCCTGCAAAATGTGGTTGGTTTTTGATTTGGAAGACAAGCAAGGCAGCTGGGTCGTGCAAATGATTGGCGTCCAAGGGACACCCTCCCTTTTCAAAATCATGGGCAGTCCGGTTCAAACGCTTGGTGTCCAAGGAAATCCAAGGGATGGGAAAACAGGTCCCTTCCCATGCCTGTTCCAAGGGCATCCAAGGGCAACATCATGAGAAAGACAGCGGATGCTTTGTGACATCCTTCCTTTGGCATCGGCAAACGTGAACATCCACAGGTGTCCTTTTGGAAAAAATAGATGGCCCTGGTAAATGGACTAAAACCCATCTAAACCAGAAATTGCCTTCCATTTTTAACCACGCGAACCTAAAAAGGACACCCATGTGAACCTCCTTTTCACTCCTCCGGGCGCCGCAGCGGTTCCGGCCAAGTTCGCACCAGGCGCTCCGCCTGTGCCGACGGCTTCAGGCCAAACGCCACAACATGCGGCGCCACATTGGGTTCTCGTCTCTCCAGAGGAAGCCTCCGAAATTGGGGTGATTTGCCAATTTTGGCTCCCAATTCCAACAACTTGCCCAAATGCGGAGCGTTCCTTTTTGTGGCTCCGTTTTCTCTGGCCCTCCCTTCCCACGCCTTAGCCAACTGCCAGCTGCGCCACCGCTCCCCGCGGGCAGAATATGCCTCCGCCAGCTCCTTCAGCTTTTTGGAGATCTCTGCCTGCGAAACTCAGTGGGTGTAGATAGGGATCACCAGCCTCCCCAAACTGGCTCTTAGAACCCTTCTCAGAAGGGTTCCTAGAGCAGTGGGCCCGGGAGGCTGAGCATTGTCTCCCTGAGTAAAGGCTCAAAGTCGAGAATGTGACAAACCTCCAGCCTAGAATCAGACCCACTTTTCAGCTACATGACCTCATGGAAACCCTAGGATTCCCGGGCACCTTCCCACCCAGCATGGAACCTTTTTGGAAGAGACCATGTTCCACAAGAGGCCTCTGGTGCAACTCATGGGGGTTCTCAAGTGGGGACCAGAGAAATTCTGGGAGGGGAGCCCTCCAAGTCCCTCCAATCCAACCAGAGCTTCTCAACATCATGAACAATCTTGAAAAGGACTTCCCTGTCAACCTTTCCACACCAGGAAACAGGCACAAACGCTGAGAAGTCGGAAAGTCATCTCTTCAACTTGCCTCATGTTGCATAAACATGCATAAGTGGGGATTTCCCACTTAACCACAATAAGCAAAAATGTAAAATGTTTCCCAACAACAACCGTGTGATACCGGTCAGCTACTTCTGAAGGTCCAAGACACATTGAGCGGCACGTCGGCGTCCCGCACCATCACCTGCCTGCCAAGCTGTGGGAACCTCCCACGACCCAACTAAAAAAAGGGGGAGGATGCTGGTGCTCAGTGGGGAAGGATCTTCCGGGTTTTGGGAATGAACCGGTTTTGGGGACTCCCTGAAAGAAACCCCGTGGGCTTATAGAGATCATTTCTCATTTCTCAAATTTCCTGTTTGTCGAATTAGCAAGAAAAGGACACAGCGAACTTGAATCTTGAGGCCTGGAGGCTGCATGGGGAGATGAAGGAGCCAGTGAAACTTTGGGATCAGGTAAAGGTCTGGCACCATCAACCTGCTTGAAGCCAACAACTGGTTTCGAAGCTAAGCCCCACATCCGTGAGCATCTTACGATTATAAGCAAACCCCGCTTCTGGTTTGTTGTTTCATCGTCCATCCCTCCTTCTTGTCAAGTTCCAGCTTTGGGTTTGGGCTGGCCCCTACGACTGTTGGAGTCGACAGCGAGCGCTGAATCAGATCCCGCCCGCAGGTCGGTGCTTGGTTCACTTTGTGAAAAACTCCGCGACGGTTTTTGCAAATGCCGTCTTACTTAGAAAGCACGTGCCCCTGGCCTTTTTGGCGGCGTCTTGGGCTCCTCTTTCTTCGGAGGCAAAGGTTCTGGAATCGGAGTCTCTGCTGACACAGCTGTTGCCGGCTTTGCTTCTGCAGCGGCGGGGGCTGCAGCTACAGTCTGGGCGGCTGGGGCTGTCTGTGCGGCAGCCTTTGGCACGGGCAAAGCTGCACGTACCTAGCATGGAAAATCCGGGACAACTCCCTCGCCTTTCTAGCCGAGACGGCGGACCCTCCGGGAAGCAAGCATGACTTGCAGATGTCTTCTGAAAGGACGCATACCGTGGATGGACGAAATTCGGCACCACCTAAGAAACCCTGATTTCTGGTGCTTCCCCTGTAAATCCCAACAAACAATGGTTTGCCCTGGTTTCCAAGTGGTGGACATGGATTGTGTCCATCCACAGTATGCAGCCCCCAATTTCCGCCAAGACTTGCCAAAAGTTGCGAGGCGCGAGGCCCAAAATCCCCCTCGGCAGGCCTGGAACTCGGCTTCTGGCATGCGACGCCCTTGCTGCACAGACTTGCCTGCGTGGCCAGGTGTCTCTCTTGTGAAGGTACCCCTTATGGAGTTGGTTTAAAGAGAAACCAAAAGAAGCCACCCATTGTTCCTTGGGGGGTGAGGGTTCTAAGATGATCCCAAGTGGTTTAATATTCGGAATAACAGGTCTTCCAGTGTATATGCCGTAGATGTGCATCGTCCGTGCCCCGCACAAATTGTTGGCTGCTCTGCGCACTGTAAAGTGCCAACCCATCTGTGACAAATGACTGGTGCAACAGTTTGGCTGACTGTGTCAGCAGAATATGCGCCAAGGACCAACGTCACATGAATGCTTCACACGGGTCCGTGCTGTCATGCCAATATCCTCTTGATCCTACAGAGCTGAGCGCTCAAGTCACATCCCGAGTTGAATTGAATGCCCGGGATAGATTCGACGGTCCAGAAGCAAGCGTGTCCTCTAGCAGCATCTCTCTCAAAGGGATCACAAAGTCCAAAAAAAAGAGGAACCCTCATGCAAGACTGCAGCCTTGGTCTCACAGTGAAATGCAGCAGGGCCGCTCAACCACTCTGCTTGCACGATACACACTTCTACGGGCAGCTTGCACCATGTCGTCTCCGGCACACCGGCGCCAATGACCACATGCCTCAGGTTTCGGGTTACTTTGAGCTTGGATTGGACCGGGTGGGATTCGGGCGTGGGTTGTTTAGGATTGATGTAGGGTTGAGGGTCTAGGCTTGGTTTACGGTGGATTTGGGGTGAGTTTGGTGTTGGGCTAGCCCAACCAGCAGCCTCAAAAACTGCCAAAAGCCACGAAAGCATGCCAACAAGCCACCAAAGCCACCAAAGCCACCAAAGCCACCAAAGCCACCAAAGCCACCAAAGCCACCAAAGCCACCAAAGCCACCAAAGCCACCAACGCACAAATAAAAAAAAAAACAGAGCGGCGGGCCGAAAAACACCAAAATCAAACTACACGCAGGTGAACCTCCAAAAAGACGTGCATGCCCCTTTACCCTCATACGAGATACGTAGCGCCGGCGAGGTCGCTGACTTGGCCTCCATGGTCGGTGACCACCTGGCGGCACTTTTTTTGGGGGGTACCCATTTTATTAGGGGGTGCTTACGGGAAACCGAAGCCATGTCCTCATATTGGTTGCTTTCATGTTGGTTTCCCTCTAAACCAAGGTGGAAAGGCTACGGCAAACCGAAGAAAAAAACATACATAGCAGGGAACCCCCTGTTGAGAGAACCAATTACATGTGTGTGTATAATGTACGGACGCCAACCCACCCACACACACACACACATTGCCTTTTGCAGCACGGCCCGTCGCAGATTCGTCATGTCGCGGCCGGGCAGTAGGTGCACCGCGCAGCCGCCCAGCATCGTCCATGGGCGGAAATTGGTCGAGATGGGCGTGTTGTTTTTTGGAGTTGGTACCCTGCTTGGGGTTGACGGAAAATCCCAGCGTTTGTCGAGAAAGCTCCTTTTTGAGGCGTTAGCTGTCGCGCCATGTTCGGCTTTGCCGAGAGTTCGAGGAGCACCTCGCCCTGACACTGTGCGGTACATACGGAATATAACTGAAACAACCGCCAACTGTAGTCAATCATAAGTAGTCGACCACTTGCTGCTTGCAATGTTTGAAGCTGGGGCTGCCTGCTTCGTATGCAACTCTCTGGTTGCAATCACTGCAAGGGTGCGCATGGTTTCCGCCATCAGTTGATGTGTACCTTTGTTTCGCCTTCGCCGAACGCTTGCTCTGACAATGGCCAAACAGCATGTACCATCAGGCAGAGCTTCTAGCGACTGAGTCCATTAAGCGAGCTCTACTCGTCAGGAGAGCCACAGAGCTGCTTGCCCACCCCACCCGTGCATGTCATCTCCTGCGTCTGGGCTGCTCCTGCACCAGCTTCAGCCTGCCAAAATTCAGTTGAGTCACAATCAAAGCCGGTACAAGAATGGTCTACACAGAACCATGTAAAGAAGTAAGAAGGCGGCCGCAGCTATTTTGGCCCCTTTCAATTCCAAATACTCTAGCACCCTTTGCCCCTACATCTCATTGGGATTCCGCCAACTGGGGGGTGATCAAAAGGTCCTTCACATGGGATGACCTGCGGTTGGAAAACCACGAAAAAGACTTGCTCGTTTTCCGCATGGGAAGAGTTACCCACGGTCAAAACTGGGCCCCCTGAAGGGAATATTGATCAACCCCCAAATGTTAGGATTCTGTAGCTAGGTCTTCCAGTAGAGAGGTTAGAATAAGGGTACCAACTTCTTTCTGTAGTCTATTTTAGTAGGGGGTTCCCCTCCCAACCAAAAAAGGGCACTGGAGGAAGCCTGCGGACTCCCAGCCTCCGAATTCCGCCGCCGCACGCTGTTGCGCCTCGCCTGACGAGCAAAAAAAAAAAGACGCGGCGACGGAGAAGAAAAGGAAGCCGAGGGTTGAAAGGAAACTTGGGAAAAGGATCAAGGATCCAAGGGTTGTTGTATTACACCCTGAGATTGCGCCCTTGGGAAATGGCCCAAAACGGTCGAAAATATAACATGATGTTATCCCGGAAATATGCCTAGATGGGGTCATTTCCCAGCGGGCGTAATCCGAGGGCGTAGCACAAAAACCCTTAGAAAAGAAGGACGGCAAGGAAATCAGCCAAGGGCAGGCAAGAAAGGGCAGACACGGAAGGAGAAAGGAGAAGGGAGCGAAGGGGAAGAGTGGGAAAAGGAAGCGAGAGCAACTATGCAAACAAAAACATAACCCGCACAAAGGGAAATCAAGGAAAATGTTCAAAACAACAAGAAGTAAAGGAAAGGCAGGAAAGGGCATCCACGCCTTGTGAATGGAGTTCCGTGCAAAGCCCAGGTCAAACAAAATGGTGCGAAAAGAATATCAAGCTTCTGCTTGGGCTGACTGAACCATGAGGCCGCGACTCTGACAGGCGAGGCGGGGGTTGGCGCTGCTGGCGCAACCACCGTGCGCGGCACCTCGGTCATGTGATGCCCGCCGGTCGAAAGCACTGGGAAGCTGAGCGCTCCACATCACTCTCGTCAACCTGAGGATGCGAGATTTGGCCATTGGTCAAAATCCAAATCGTACCCCCAGTGAACACCCCAATCCAACCACTAAAATAGACTGAGGTGGGTGTTGCACCTACCCCAAAATGCCCCCCAAAATGGGATCCCAAAACGGTTTTGAAAGACCCACAGCCGCTTAGATTCTGCAGCTTCAAGCTTCAGCTCTCAAAGGAAACAGCAACCTATGTGCAATACCATGTTGCGCGGCGGGCGGCGGTTGCGCGCACGCACAACCGTTTCCCAACCTACCTCCGAAACCCGCTGCAAACAGAAAGGGGAATCTCCTATTGGGCGGCCCTTGGGTTCCATGTGGGGGTTGATCAAAAGGTCCTTTACATGGGATGCCCATTGGTTGGAATACCACTAAAAAGATTTGCTCTTTCACACATGAGAAGAGTTACTCATGGTCAAAACTGGGGGCCCTAAGTGGAATATTTCTCAACCCATATGTAATCTTCCCATTTGCCTGGTCCAGCGGGAAAAAAGAAAACTGTAGTCATAGATTCCCTTTAAAACCAACAAATCCTAAAATGGATGTAAACCAACATGTCCCTTTCAAATTCCGTTTGAAACCAAAAAATCCTATAAAACCGTTTGAATCCAGGGGAAAGTAAGAAGAAAGTTTCAGCCAATGGACGCAATTTCTCGTTTTTCCGCTCCACTGGTCTCTTCCCTTGCTTCCCGCCTGCACGACGCTGGTCCGTTCAGAGCTTGGGTCCAGGGAGAGCTGCTCTCGCAGCCTCTGGGCCTGGGACGGAGCTTGGGAGCTCAGATTTGATGGTTCTCTGCTCATTTGGTACAAATGAGAAGCCGATAAATATAGACCTGTCGTACTTTTACATATGTGCAGATGTACATGTATAACATAGTTACATACATGTATATATATATATACACAAATGAGCATTGTATATTATATTTATATATATATATGTGATTTCTGTGCTCACGGGCCAATACTGCGCACCATGCGAAGAACTACCTCGAACAAGGTTGGACATAGATGCTCAGGTTCTCAGTGAAAAACCATAACCAAATGCGAACGCGGCAAACAACAAACAACGCACCCTGGCTGTGGCCGAGTTCTCTTGAGCCCAAATTGCTGCCTATGCCCGCTGATTTGCACTGGCCGACCCGAAAATACCAGGAGAAAATCCACAGCATGTCTTGCAATGGCGCAGCCATTGCAGTAGCCCAAGAAAATGAGATGCCCATCCCTCGGCATCCAGGAACATCCTGTGGCCCTTCCATTTGAGTCCGGCCTTGTCTATACTTTCCAGGAATTGGCGGTGGTAAATTTCCAGCTCCTGCAATGCCTGCAAGAAACGCTCAAGGCGAATCCTGACTCCGCATCTTGGTTAGTCGGCTCTCTGCACACAAATAGAACTCGTTCTTAGTGGTTTATGCAACGGGTTGGCTGCCTCAACTGTCATGCGTATGCGGATACACCTGGCTGCAAGACTGCAGCAAATCCCAATTTTCCAGATCCGTTTGCTGCATTTACACGTGCAGTGGAATCTAGGTGCAAACACGGCGAGCTCCTTCAGCCAACTTCCGGTTACGATATTACTACAGTGGATTTCCAAGCCCTTAACCTCTGAGTGTTGCATGAATACCCCCGGTTACCTGCTATTGTGGTAACTGGACAAGTGACATCCGCAATAGGAGTCAACCTTCCAGAACCTCCCGGAACTTCCCTTGGAGACCCTCCGAACCACCCCAGAGCTTGTGGTCTTAAGTGCGAATGACGCTAGCATGTCCATGTCTTTGCTGCGTGGTCACTGCTGCCTCTGCGCGTGTCTAGCTGTATGCGATGTTCTGGTGGTGATGGTGATGGTTCATGTTGGCTATACCCGTAAATTGGGGAGATGTTGGCAATGTGAGTGATGAGGAACGCTCTGAGGCCTGGGATTTGGTTGTGGCTTTCAGGTAAAACCGCAGGCATGGAGGACGTGCGTCGGTGGCGGCCGCGCCGCCCGGGCAGTGGGGGTCATTCGGGTGCTGTGGAGTGATGCTGGTAATGCTGATGATGCGGATGATGCAGGTGAAAAACTGGAAGCTGGTTGGATTGTTTGGGAGACTTCCATAGCTGAATATTCTTTTTCGCTGATCAGACACTCATTGGCTTCGTTCTTTTAGCAGATACGCCCCAGAATGAGGGGTGCCTTCTTTTATCTTTCAGTTTTCAGGAGATATTTGGGTAGCAAAATCCCTTTCGACCGACCTTTCGCCGGGTACCCACTCCCCAAAATGAGCCACACGGGGGTTGATCAAAAGGTCCTTTGCGTGGGATCAGGGAAACCACTCTCAACAGATGTGACATTTCAACCACATGGCCACGAAAGGAGCTTTCTCAACCACACAAAAAGAAAAATGAGATTCCAACCACCTGGTCAAAAACAAAAAGGGTTCCACCGACTTCACCGTGGTTTTCCTTTTTGGACGCAACACCCCCGTGGATTGCCGAAAAGCGAGCCACGGGAAAAGCGACGGCTTCAGCCTTCCGCGCGGCGGGGAGCTGCTGCTCCAAGGCCTGCAGCAGCTGCTGGGGCGCCAGCTCCAGGCCCGTGGTGCGCTTGCCTCAGAAACGGAAACGGGAAACGGCCGGATTTTTGGCCGGGTGGTGGAAGGAACGGCCGGGTGGTGGAAGGAACGGCCGGGTGGTGGAAGGAACGGCCGGGTGGTGGAAGGAACGGCCGGGTGGTGGAAGGAACGGCCGGGTGGTGGAAGGAACGGCCGGGTGGTGGAAGGAACGGCCGGGTGGTGGAAGGAACGGCCGGGTGGTGGAAGGAACGTCCGGGATTTTGGGCGCGTGGTGGGACCGAAACGGAAGGAACGGCCACCAGTTAACTTTGATAATATATTGATAATGATTCATAAGTTTGTTGAGTATCAAATGATTTTTATCTTTGTTCATAATTATTGATGATGTTTTAATTTGTTTAAATGTTTCATGCCCGGTGGGCGGGCGGGGTTTTGGACGTCTCCCAGGGTTTTGGAACCTTGGGGTGTTGGAACCCTGAAAACTGGAAGGAACGCACGGAAGCAAAAGAGACGCCTCCCAATTCGGGCATGGGAATTTGTCTGGACCTCTGGGCCTTGGAAGTGGGCAGAAGAAACGGTTTCAAGGCCCATGGGAGTTGGAAGTACACCGCTTGGCCGGGGTCCCAATCTGTTGTCTTCAGAAGCTTTTTGATCAGAAATCGGGCCTCCAGCTTCCCAACCGTCGCAGATTCCGCCACCAACCCAGAGCTTGTGGCTTTGGTCTGGAGTGCTTTCACAAGGCGCGCCTGTTCACCTTCAAAGCGCTTCACCCGTGTCTCTTTGGGATGGCATGTCTTCCCACAGCGACCCTTGCTATGACACCTGCACTGTATTTGACGGTCGAGGGTGATAAATCATCATCGCAAAAGGCCGCTATGACCAACATGCCAGAAGCGAGCAACTGAGCGATTCCAGGAACTGTGAAAGACAAGAAATAGTGTGGGTGTGTGTGTGTGAGGCTTTTTCGTGAATTCATTTCGGGTTGTGGCAAGCTTGTTTCGAAACCAAGGGTATGGGTCCAAGGGTACAACAAATCAAACTCTTCAAAGTGCTTCACACAAGAGGATTCTTCATCAGAATGTATCTGTTTGAAGTGCTCACCTGTCATGCATTGAAGTGCAAACATGTCAATTTTCACAAATGCACGCACGCACACATGCATTAAAAACTGTACGTACTCGGGGCAATGTTCATCCATACCTTCGAGAATGCACATACTTTGATATGTTTTGTGACTCTCCGGAAGAAGCTTAAATTGTCATCGCCCTTGAACTGGAATGGCGAACTCCCGAAATCTGGAGTTTGAGTTTCTCATTTGCAGAGTTTACACCGCCAGCACCGTGGCTTTCACAGAAGCAATATGACGGGTACAACTTGAGCACCCTCTTTCGCACCCCAGTATTGTTTCTGACATGAGCACATGTCTGGACAGCATCAATACCTCTCTCTCAGCTTCTCGTAGGGCACGTGTCAGCCGCAAGTTTCCTTCCGTGAAGACATGAAATACTGTGGATGGACGAAATCCTGCACCACCTAAGAAACCCTGGCACGATGATTCCCTGTAAATACCAACAAACAATGGTTTCCCATGGCTCCAAACTGGTGCAGGATTTCGTCCATCCACTGCATATTTACTAACGTGATAAAACAATGCAGGGATGCAGTGAGACACCTCTTGCCGCCCAAGCGTCGGTTGACGTCTGGATCGATGGAGCTACTGGCCGAGGCAACGCAATAGGAGGGCCGCCAGATCATCGCCGGGTCAATTGAGTTCTTACATTGACCCCGTCCCTGCCCAAAACAAAACTTAGTTTGTGCGGCTTCAGTCTTGATGCCAAGCGCGTTGTAGCCTGAAACTGACAGCATACAGAAGGCAACTCAACCAACAAGCACATAAAATGCATATTTGAAGCAGACATCACCGGTTCAGTGCCTCAGCCGCGTAGCGCTACCTCTTGTCGGTGTGGATCCTGGCGCTTGGCCGGATCCTGGCGCCGGCAATGTCGAGAGCAACCCACGCGGCCGGATGTTTAGGGAAAAACCGGGTCGGGCACCTGAATCAATGCTCAAGGCGGTGAAAGTCTCAAACTGTGCGGCACCACGCTAACTTTAGCGAATGCTCAACTGGTCATGGGTCAAAATCCAAATCGTAACCCGCAGTGAACATCTAAAAATCCCCACTAAAATAGGTTCGAAAAATGGGTGGTGAATTCGCCTACCCCAAAATGGGATCCCAAAACGCTTTTGATGGGTCAGCCAACTGAGCGCCATAGTTTTCCCCGAAACAATACCCCAAAAATACCCCACGGCCCAAAAAATCCCACTGCAACCGACAGAAATCGTCTACCTACGACTCCTCAACTGACACACCGCGAGCTGCGTCTCCACCCGGCCGAACCCTCCCAGCCGAACCCTCCCTGTCCTCCGACGGCCTGGCTGAACGCCTGGGCCTCGGAGCTGTGCAGGCGGCGTGTCTTCTTGGGTGCACGCTTCTCTGGTGGTGGAAAGGGAAATCAAAGGGAACACCACCCAGAAAAGAAAAAAAATACCAGTTTGGGGGGAAAACCCAGTTTGAGGGGTTGGGGGGTCCTCATTTGAGTCACAATCAAAACCTGGTATTGAATGCTCTCCCATGTAAAACCCATTTTCGGGGGGGGGGGTCCTATTTGGAGACGAACCCTCACTCGAGCAAGCCGTCGCTCAGTTCCAATCGAATGCAGCCAAGTCACAGCTTTCCTAGCTTTCCTCAGCTTAGGAATGGTGGTGGGCCGCCCGCGAGTCCGTTCGTGCAGCGTCCGTTCATGAATTTGTCCAGAGTCGTCCGCAAATACCACAGGAAAGCAGCACTGCTTCGCCCCGCGCAATGTGCAAGCTGAACGCGCACAAAAACGCGGTGCTTGCCTATCAACATTCCAGTGCTAGAGCTGTTGAAATTTTCTCTGATCCTTCCAGGCCCCGAGAAACATCGTCAAAACCCTACCAGGATTTGGAAAGCTTTTTCTTTGAAATGGAGGTAGACCTCATTTGTATGACTGACATGGCATTTATGCCCGCTAGCCATTCTGGAGGCTAACCCAACAAACTACACAAAGCATTCTTTTGAGGGATGACGTATGTCCACCAACTTCCATGAAAAACAACTGGCCAACTGAGTCTGATTTGTCCGAGCCGCTTGGCGGCTTCGCCTGTCTTGTTTTGCGCCTGCTTTGAAAGCTCCTGCTCCTGAGCCCAATGGATGGGAAGTGTTGGTGATCTAGTGTCCATTTTGTGACCGTCCCGAGGTAGACTTAAACCCAGGGGCTTCCTTCTTGGGAAAATCGACAATTGTTTGGTTTAAGTCTACCTTGGGGCTGGTCCTCAAGTTGGCCAGATGGATACGAGATTCCAGTTTGGAGAAAAGATGCCACAACTCTTGTTTCGGTGATAAAGATATTCTTTCAGCACTTGGCGTCTCTGAGACTGCTTGGGGCCTAAGCCAAGGGAGGGCTTCCAAGGCACCACGGCCACACAGCCCTCGCGCCTTGCTCTGAAGAAGCTGGACGTCATCCTCGAACTTCGACAGGTGCACCTGGACTTGGATCTCTTGAGTCAACGCTTCGTAACCATAGGTGGCCTTTTGGGAAAAAACAGATGGGTTCCCCTGGTAAATGGAAGAACCCCCATCTAAACCAGTGGAACCCATCTACTTTAAATCAAACTAACCTAAAAAGGACACCTATGTTCGGAAATCTCGATGGGTGCACGGACATTTCCGGGTGTTTCCGACGTCCCTCTGAAGGGTCCAGCGAATGTACATATTCAGGGAAGCGCGCAGCGCAGGATCGCAGCGATGGTCTAACACCAGCAATGTTGCCATCTCATTTTAGAATAAAGGCCTGTAAGCCCGCCAAAAGGACACTCACCTTATATTGGCCCAATGGGTGATGTTCAAAACCACCCGTTCCAGGGGAAATACAGGGACCGGTCCCTGCAACACACTGCCCAAAAATACAAATCCAAAAAAAGAACACGTTTTAGAGAAAGGTCGCCAAACTCCCTAGTTGTTCACCAAAATCCCTAGTTTCTGCTGGAGGTTTCGTTGATTTCCTCTAAACAAATCCTGCTGATGGACCATCTTCGCGTCCAGTGCTCGGTCCGTGGCCTTCAGTTCCGCTGGCGGCAGCTTCAAAAGGTACTCCTTGCCGCGGAAAGCGGCTTGCCGCCGATGTCTTCGTTGCGTGGAGGTCTTGCGTTGGGTTTTTTCAGATGGCTGTGAGTCGGAAAAAAAGGGACCCAAAACAGGCTGCGAAGTGGACACATGGACTAAAACTCGCGGTTTTTTCTGGTGGCTTATCTTGGAGCCATACCCAAATAGGGGTTCCCGAAAGCGGTAGTCCGCTTGTATTTGCCTACTGGGCCGGCTTTGCTTTGGTTTCAATGAGATGATACAGGCAACAAAACGTGCAACGTACACAGGCTCTTGGCGGTTCAGCCTAAGGTAAACCAAGAAGGCCGCTTTGAACTTAGACCACCCGTCTGCCTGTTTGTATAGATCCATCTCTGTCCGTCGAGTCCATTCCGTGACCCGTCGAACCTACACGCCTCTTCGCTCGCTCTCTCTCTCTCCCTCTGCCTGGCAGAACACTTCCCATCTGACAAAATGACCAAGAACCAGGAGACAGCACAGCACAGGTCCTCCAGACCCATCCACCTAGCTCCGCCCAACTTGGCTCTTCAGCCGGGCGGAGCTCCGCCCGACTGGGCGGAAGCCGATCAAAGCGCTCCTCGCTGAGCTTGGAGTCCTGGGCTGCCTCCCTGATGCGGGCGTCCGCCGCCGCGCGCTTCTCCGCCTCGCTCTCGTCCTTGGCCTACCGCGAATGCCCCCTACCTTCGAAAGGAGGAGCGGGGTGGGAAGTCCCCAATTCCATTCATCTAGGTGACCCCCATAAAAGGGACAATGGTGGAATTCCAGGGGTCACCCCCCTCCCCAATTCCATCTTGGAGGGGGTGGGGATATGGCGACCCATGCGGCCGAGAATGCGAAAACCACAAGTCGCGGCCCATGGGCACAACGAAGCCTTCGCAAAAAAAAGAACTCGTGACTAGTTGAAACACCTGGGGGGGGTGCTCAGGGTAATGTCCAATATGTTGGAGGAATCTTCACGCACCACGGAAATTAGACACCCCAAGAATTCAATCGACTTTGCCCCAAGCAAAGTAGGGGCTAGTTGGAACAACTGCTGCCCTAGCTGCCTGTCACAAGTCGACACTGGGATGACGAATGGCTTGGTCTGGCCTTCTGCTGCATCTGCTGCAGGAGCTCTTGAATCTCCTGCAAAATGGGTGTCATTGGGAAGCCAACCCGACATGGGCTTCCCATAATCTTCTCTTGCCCCAAGGGCAATTGTTAATTGCGCACAACAAAATGACAAACCCTGATATCATCTCTGTCCCGGTGTCCCTGTTCTCCCTTCCCACAAATCGGTGCAATCGGACAAAAAATCATCACTCCCAGCCTCCGTGGCTTCGGGCGCTTCTTCGCCCCTCTCCGTGGCCTGGCAAGGATCCGCAAAGTCCCCGCAAAGCGAATCCTATGAGAAGCTTCCAGAAAATACGGCTTTCCACCTCATGAGCCATGCTTGCCATCGATGTGGGTCTAGAATAGGTACCCCAAATGGAACCCTGGCAAGTGGACGCATGGACCAAGACCTGTGGTCTCCTGGTGGTTTGATTTTGACCCATGCCCATGTCTCTCGGAGAAAAAATGAGGCGCCTCAAGCGCGGACTTCAAGTGCAGCAGCGCCTCGAAACGTGAAGCACGACGTGAAGCAGTTGCAACGAGCTGAAGCACGCAAGCAGTTGACCGGATCATCCCAAGCTACCCTGGTGATGCGAAAAAGTATGCAGGTTGAATCGAGGGCACCTCTTTCTCCAATCACTGCGAAGCTCATGGCCTTGTTGTGAACGTTCAAGGTCAGCTTCTTCTTCTGATTGTCGGACACCAACTCGTTCATGCCTCATTTGCACTTTGCTGAAACCGCCTGTGCCCGAAATGGCTGCAGCTCACAAGTCAGGTAACCCCCAACGCCCACGTGAAAAACAAAACAAAAGCAAAAACAATAATCTGAAATCCTGCGGTCTGTTCGGGTCCGAAAGGGCTTTGAGCCACAAAATCCAAAAGAACTACTGCGATCCTCATACCCTTGTAAACTTGTAATTCACCAATCGAATTTAAGGGATTAAGGCAAACTAACTTAGCCAACTTGCAAACTGTACTATACTTCCAGAAGCTGAACTAAGAATTGGATCCCCAAGTAAAGGACCTTTATGGTGAGCTCATCCCCCCGAGCTCCGGTGGCATCGCTGGCTGCCAAAATCGGCAGGCCAACCGACGGCTGAGTCCGTGGCCCTTCTGCAACTCCGCGATCCGCGAGAGGAGCTCCCCCGCCTTGGAGCCCTTGACCTCCTGGACCTCCTGTCCCACCTTGGCGGGAAAAGAGATCTCTGGAGGATCCGGGCGGTGGCAAGCCCCCCCCAAAAAAGGGTTGGAGCCAAGAAGAGACACGAATTGTTGGGGGATGCTTGTTGCACAAGCGACCGCCTTTGGGCAACAGCCGGAATAATAGCAAAAACAGATTCATCGTCAGCTTTCATGAGGCCTGCTGTCGTCCAGAACACAACCCCAGGGCCCTAGCTTTCATTCAGGCTGCCCTGACCTCCATGCCTCCCGCAAACTCAAGATGCTCAGCCATGATTCGGCAGAACTTGTCTCGTCCTCCGAGTCTTGCTCATTCCTGGGATTGCGCGCGAGACTGCAGCACGTGCTGGGGACAGGTGAAAGATCTTAAGGAATGCTGGTTGCGTCCGTCAAGTGTATCTCAGACTGCCTGACCAGGCCACACAAGAACACACACGCACACACACACACTTATCTCGAGAGGCTTCACTAGCCGAGATGCAAAACGCAGTCAGTAAAAATGCTTGAATGCAAATGCAAATCAACAGGTCACAACATCGACACCGAACAGGAAGCAACAGCGACAAACAGAAACCGCAAAAAGAATCAGGAAAGAGGGTCAGGAAATAGGCAGGTACGCCGGATTGATCAGATCCGGTATCCACCGAAATGCCGTAGCTTCATTGGACTGGATAGGCAAATCGGCTCCAGTCCCCCTGCAATGTGGAATTTCCGTCCGTGCTCCAGGACGCTTCACACACACGGAGCCCCAACTGGGGCGACATCACTTGTGCAAGGCCCATTGAGTCTTGCAAGCATCAATTGTGCGAGAAAGTCTTGTGGCGATGACTGACCACACATACTTGGCTTTGGAATTGGTCTTAAGGGAACGGAGGAGTTCAATCTCTCCCTCAGTCCAAGGCTGCGAGGCTTCAGGTTCGGCCTCAGTAGAGGCATCAGTCCTGGTCGATGTGGTAGCTTCGCTTGGTCCACGAGCAGGTTTTGGATGCCGTAGATCGTGAGGAGGCCAAATCACGTGCGCGGCGAGCTCGTTTTTCGCCGGGAGAAGACGGAGGAGGGGTGGGCGGAGCCCAATGATCAGGGAATTGTTCGTCATGATCAGTGGGAAGGTGTTCATCTGGAGCATCAGGAGGTGGCTCAAAGAGGTCCTCGAGGGGGGCCAGGAGGGGTGTTGGTGGTGAGTTGGTCAGGTCCTCAATGGCGGGGTTGAACGTGGCCTCCGGTGCCAAATCAGGTTCGGCAGGCGGACTCTCAGGGAACTCGCGGATGGTGGCGATGCCTTGTTGGGCAATGCCAAGGATGAGTTCGAAGTCTTGGAGCAGCTGGCGTGCTGTGTTGGTATCCATGCTCGTAACGGATTTTGGTCAAACAGTCAAACAGCTGCGGCGCGAAAATCAGGTCAAATCTGTCAGGATGCAAAGGCAGAGAAGAAAACCAGTGTGGTTCCGCAAAGGACGGTTTTTCTTCTCTTTGTAAGGTGAAACCGTGTTGGAGGTGCAACCTCTTCAACATTGCAAGACCCTGACCTCGCTGAAACTCAGGAAAGGAAACTCGGTTGATCAGCGTGCGTCCGGAATAACATCCAGATTCCTTATGCATCAGTGGTGCGGCTGACTTGACGGAGAGCATGTTGTGCTTCTCATGCGAGGGGATGAAGGAGATGGTGCTGCTTGTGAGGTTCAGTCGGAACCCCAAGAAGTCCAGGGCGGCTTCTGTGTCCAGGAAGATGTCTCCTCCATAGAAGTGTTCGTCGCACAGTATGTTGGCTGCCGGAGTCGAGAGCCACCTGGGGGTTGCGATCACGAGTCTGTTGTCCACGTAGCGGAGTAGGAGAGTATCTTCAACGGAGCGAAGTCCCGATGTGATGTGAGTGTTGGTCCAACATTGTTCGGCGACCGCGATCACCATCAAACAGAGAGCTGGGGACGCGGGGGATCCCATCGGTGCCCCACGTGTTTGCCTGAATGAACGAAGGCCGACAGAGAAGATCTGCATGTCAAGGGTGGCCTGAATGATCTCGGGGATGTCGTCGAGCCACAGGGTGCGTTGTGTGGGTTTGTGTCGGCGACGGCGTCCGTTGTAGACGCGGGTGATGGCAGAGGTGTCAAGTGTGTCCACTGTGAGGTGTGTGGTAGAGGAGTGTGGTTGTCGTTGTCGGTACCAGGTTAGCAGTAGTCGCCAGGCGAGGAAGGGTGCAAGCATCGGTCTCGAGGGGCCAGGTGGAATGAGGCCCCGGAATTGTAAACTGGATCGAATGGCGGAAAGGCATGCCTGGTGGTGTGGTTCAGGCAGGTGTGTGGCTATGCGATGAAGGACATAGAGAGCGGCGGGTGGGAAGTCTCTGGTCCGTATGTAACGGATGGCATCAAATCGTCGTAGAGTGTTGCTGCCAAGATCGCCCAAAAATCGCCACAAATCCAGGCGGTTGTCCACGCGTTTGGCCAGGAAGGCCTGTTGTAGGGCGATGGGTAGTCGTAGTCGGCGGCGTTTTCGCCAGATGGTGGCGAAGCCCATGTGCCGGGATTGGGAGAAGTCCAATTGGCGTATGAAGCCCGTGCGTGGCCGGAAATGTTTCTCGATGAAGCCAAAATTGAGAGACGGTTGCAGTTCCTGGATGTAGAACTGTTCAGTGGCAAATAGGTCCGTTGCCGGAACGACAGTGTGAATGGGCACCGAGGTGTAGTGGTGGAAAAAGTCGAAATGTGCCCACCACCGGACTGCCAGTTCGGCATTGACCAGATGATGTCGCTGAACTTGGAGTAGTTTGCGAAGTTGGCTGCGGCCCCGTGCCATGAGGGAGGCGCGAGTGGCTCCGAGGTAGAAAAAGGCCTGCCACTTTGGATGGCTGGTGAATCTCAGATAAACCGCTGAAGGGACAAGCTGAGAAGAGAAATCGGAAGCAGGGTTGTCCAGGCCAAGTCGAGTAAGCAGGGCTTTCAGTCTGCCGGAACCACAGGAGAGATGGCAGACGTCAAGTAGCTGAAGCTGTGCGAGTAGCCAGGAGCAAGAATGACGTGCGGTGACGTCATCGGTTGGGAAGAACCGAAGAGTGAAACGGAGGACAGTGAGAAGTTGGCAGCAGTGGTGTTGCCAAAATTTGTGCTGCCTGGCTGTGCGTCGTTGTCGGTGTGCTGTTGAGAGTCACTGGTAGAAGTGACTCGCAGCGGCCAGGATGCGGCCCAAGGCCGATGACCCCAGTTTTGATAGGGTTCGCACCGGGATGCCCCATAGCACAGCGGCTCGTTCGAGTTGGGCTCTGGTGTCGGAGTCCAGTGTGGTTGCCCATTTTGCGCAGTCGTTGGACCAGCTTTTTAGGACTTGCTTGCTCTCTTTGCTGGTTTTCTGAGAGGTGATCCATCGCTGGACTTTGGTGTCGGAAATGTCGGGTGGGAAGTTGCTGGTGAGCCATTGGCAAACGTGGGGAGGTGGTTGGAGCAAGTCGCGGGGCTCCTTCCAAGTGGGTGGGGAGGGGAGGGGGGGAGGGGTCGGGGTGCCGCCGTGGGTGGAGGGGGCAGGAGGGTTGCCGCCGTGGGTGGGGGGAGCCGGGGGGGGTTGGGAGTCGTCTGCAATGCGAGTGGGCAGGGGTAGAGCGGGGGATCCGTCCTGCGGTGATGTGTCAGGTGTAGTCAACCGTGGTCGCTTTATGCCGAAGTCCAGGAGGGAGGCCTGAGATGGACGGGGGGAGGGGGGGGAAAGGGGTTGCCGCCGGGAGGGGGGGGGAGAGAGCCGCCAAAGGAGGGTGGACGAGGGCCGGGGTGTGGTGGGTAACGGGGAATAGGTTGGCCGTAGGTCTGACAGGGAGTCGGATGTGTAGCTGGCGGTGCCGATGCCGTGGAAGAGCATCCGTAGGAAGGCCCGGACAGGGCCCCGCACGGGTTCCCGGCCATGTTGTTGCCGTACACGATGCCATGATGATGGGATGCCGTGGGCGAAGGCTGCGGTGGTAAGTTTTGCCTTTGGAGCGCCGTAACCAAACCTCGAGGGGGTTGGAAAGCCATGAGAAAACACGGGGGAAAAGGAAATGTTCGAACCACAAGCTGGTGAGCGGAATCAAGCGGGTAAGGTCACAAGGTGAGAGAACGGTCGCGGAAAGGCAGAACAGCAAAGCAAAGAAAAAAGGCGATCAAACAGTGCACCAATTCTTTTCCTGGTTGGGTGGAAGATGGTACAGTTGCGCCCCGCTAAGCCGGGCGCTGCAGCGCGATGCCTCTCAGCATCGCAAACTTGGAGTGAAGGCACCACTTTTTGCCTCGGCGGCATGCGAAGTGGCGCCGCACGTTGTGTTGATCCTCGTGGCTTCCCCCGGATTCGAGGATTTTGTGCTGATTGATGGAGCGTAGTTCCCCAAAAGCGATGGCGCCGAGTTGAGACTTTCCGATTGTAAAGTTCTGCAAGAGCTGGCCGAGCGTGTCGGGCGTGCATGCCGTGGGGGTGGCCTGAGCGTAGCATCCAAAGCTCGGGTAGTCATGGTTCTCGGGCCTCCAAGCAGCGGGTCGGATCATGTTCTCATGGCACATGCGGCGCACTCGATCCGGGGTGGTGCCGTGCACATACATGACAGCGTGATGGGAGGCCGTGCCGGATCCAGCTTCCGGGTCTCCGCCAGCAACTGGCCAAGGATGAGGTCGGGGAAACCAAGTGGTTGCGAACACCATGCCGTGTGATTCCCGTCCCAAGAGGTGGTAGAAGCTGGGATCGAACGGTATGGGATCATCCGTGTCCATGGTTCGCAGTTCCCAGCATTCCGCGAGGAGATCGGCATGTGAAGGTGGCAAAGCAGGGTCCAGGTCCATCAAAATGGCCTTAGTCTGTTCCACCCTGGAGATGTCCAAGGCTGGAAGCGGGTCCAGCTCCCCCAACTCCCTAGGCGTGGGAACTCGCAGCGGGTCAGTCTTGGCCGTGTCCATGACGTTTCTCCATAGATCAAGCCACCGGTTGTCGGAAGTGGTGGTGGCATTGATGTCCGCCTCCGATGGAGGGGGGTCCAAATCACCGGTGTTGTCGAAGGGGGGTTGGGGAGGGTGAGGAGTAGCCGGCGTGGGTCGGGGAGGGGGAGGGGGAGTGGAAGTGAAGGCCGCCGCAGGTGCTGGGTGAGGGGGCAAGCTAGTGTTGTGGTGGCCGGTGCGGGAAGTGGGGTGGGGTTGCTGCCCATGGTGCTGCAGTGACCAGGACGGTCGTTTGCCCTGGTTGTTTCGGTGGCCGGTGTGGCTGGCGCCATGGTGGTGCATGTCCCAGCGGTTTTTGTTCTGTGGTGGGTATCCCCACGATTGGTTCCGCCAGTGTGAGGAGGACCATTGAGACTTGTTGGAATCCTTCCCGGAAGTGCGCCAGGAGGTGGAATCATGAGTAGTGTGAGTGGGTCGGTGCGAAGTCGTGGCTCTGGGTGCAGGGGAGTGTCGATGGTGGGACCTGTGTCGGGGGGAGCGGGAGCGGAGGGAGACAGTGGAGTGGTGTGCACGTCGGGAGTGGTGGAAGTGTCGGGAAGGGGAACGTGACCTGCTGTAGCTGCGGGATCGTCGGGTGTCGTGTCGTCGGTGCGACTTGTTGTGCCTGCGATGGTGGCTGGTGTGGGAGTGGGAGTGTCGGTGCTGTCTGTGGCGGGAACGGGATCTGCGAGAGTGGGGATGGTGCCGAGTGTCCGGGGGAGGGTGGTTGGTTGAGGAGGTAGCGGCAGGAGCCGCAGCGGCAGCTTCGGGCGCGCGCGCCGGCTGAGGCTCGGGCGGTGAAGATGGCATGCTGCTCTGAGTCATGAAAGGCATGATGGTGCCAGGTGCCAAGTTGCCGTAATTGGGAGGGCCACCGTAGGGCATCATGGCCATCGGGTTGCCAAAGTTCGAGAGGCCGCCGTAGGGCATCATGGGGAAAGGTGTGAAGGATGCCGTCTGCGAGTTGGGTGACGGTACAAGGTTCATGGGCTGCGTCATCTGGGATGACAGCTGCAAGTTCGGTCCACAATTGCCTGGTGAGCCGGACGCGGTGCCGGTCGCAATGCTATGCAGGAGCGAATGCATCATGTCATAGAGCTGGTGTCCAGCCATCTCGCAAGGGAGAGAGAAGGTTGGAAAGGGGTGAAAACAAAACCACAACTGCGGCAAAAATGCGTCAATGGTGCAAATGCATGCGAGCCAACTTCAACCTGCGAATCGAAACCAAACAGAGGGAATTCCACCAGGGGACCGCCAAAACCCCGCGGCAACGGCAAAAGTTTCCACAGAAATGCATGCGAGCACAAAGGGGTTCTCAGAGGTGCCTGTCAAGTGGCCTCATGAAAGTGCCTCATGTGGCTATGCCGATGAATCTGAACTGAACTCATCCGAGACGAAAGCTTCCATAAACGCCACGAATCGCAGAGTTGGTGTATGACCAACTCGTCACTGGCGCATGAAGCTTAGGAGCCTGAAACCTCGTGGGTGCAGCCTTGCTTCAAAGGCAGGCAGTGCAGGCAGTGCAGGCGCATGAAACCAGCAGAGCACCATTTGGGTGCGGAATACCTTAAGACCTCAAGCTGCAGCCTTGATCGTGGTCAAACGCGCTGAACTGAACTGCAGCTTGAACTTGAACACTTGAACGGTCTTCCCCTCGCAGGGGGCTCCCGCATATGGCGAGTCCAGCCCACAGCGCCATGTCGGACAGGCCGTGGGTAAACACACTTATCTCGAGAGGCTTCACTAGCCGAGATGCAAAACGCAGTCAGTAAAAATGCTTGAATGCAAATGCAAATCAACAGGTCACAACATCGACACCGAACAGGAAGCAACAGCGACAAACAGAAACCGCAAAAAGAATCAGGAAAGAGGGTCAGGAAATAGGCAGGTACGCCGGATTGATCAGATCCGGTATCCACCGAAATGCCGTAGCTTCATTGGACTGGATAGGCAAATCGGCTCCAGTCCCCCTGCAATGTGGAATTTCCGTCCGTGCTCCAGGACGCTTCACACACACACACACACACACACACACACACACACACACACACACACACACACACACGCATCATCAGCTAAGTTCCAGCGCCCTACCAAATCCGGTCAGGACGAGCTAAGCAGAACTCACGCGCAGTGCGCGCAAGACCATGGAACGCCTAGGTTGTGTGAGTGCGGCCACGCGGCTTCTTGACCAGGACCACCCTGAGCAATGCAACGCAAGCAGTTGAGCAATCGCCAAAGCTCATAAGGGCTTGTTGCTTCTTTAGTGGACCCCCCAAAAAATTCTAAAAAATAGTGGTTCTCCTTTTAGTTTCCCCTTATCAACCAGGGGGTCCCCAGAAAACACCCATAGGTGTCCACAGTACTTGTAAAATGGGCGTGACTAAGTATGGGAAGCCAAAAGTGGGAAGCGGAAAGTCCGAAGGGTCAGCCAAAGTGAGACCAAAGCATTGCTCTCTGAATAGCAACTATGCGGATCAGAGTAATGAATCCCAGTTGACCCCGGCAAATCATCATAAATCGGCCTCAAGGACGCTACATGGCAAAGCTGAAAGCAGCTGCATATCAAACACACACACACACACCAGCATTACACCAGCATGCACCCCAAGCTGCAATTGCGCACATCAGCTCGTTTCAAATGGCCATAAATTGCCACCAACCGGACATCATGTCTGGGCAGCCGATCAAGCTGCCAAGTCAAGGACAAGTTAAGGACAAGGCATTGCCCTGTATGAGTGGGGTGCGAAGAAATAGGGGGCAACCCATGGAAGACAAGAGAGACAAGCCGGGACAAGGTCCGAGGCAGCAAGCAAAAAGCAGGGAAACACGTGAGACAAGTGGGAGATTAGCCATGACCACGGAGTCACCAAGCAAACAGTGACAAGGTCAGAGTCAACAGGCACAAGCTGAAGGACAAGTGGGGAGAGCCAAGTGGGGAGAGCCCTGCGGGGAGATTGCAGCCATCCCGTTCGTGGGAGCAAGTAATTGCATAAACAAAGAACACCAACAGAAAGCAAGACAACTGAAAGACAGAAAGACCAGAAGAAAGAAAGAAAGAAAGAAAGACATAAAGAAAGAAAGAAAGAAAGAAAGAAAGAAAGAAGGAAGAAAGCAAGAAAGAAAGACACAAACAAGCAAAGAAAGGCAAAGTCTGCACCTTCCTGGTTTGCAGGGGTGTGCATCAATTCATATGTTGACACACTTGCATTGCTCGGGCAAAGCTCTGTGTTGAAACATCTGTCAAAGGGGTAGGCCACACGTTGAAATTGCTGCGGCATGCCGGCCACTCCTACCCCCCGCAAATCCCCTGCGTGGCTCCTCCGCTGGCAAGCATAAGAAAGGCCTAGCGGCTCGTCCATGTTGGAGAAGCTGAACCGCTTCCTCGCCGCCTTCCTCCGTGCTCTCCGCTTCATGATGATGTCCTTGCAGCGCCACTCAGCCCAAGAACATCCAAGCGATCAAAAGCAGATTCTTCGCAGTGGTAACACCTGGCCCCTACCTGAGGGGAGTGGGCGCTCCCCACTCACCCAGTTTCCGTATGGAGTTTCCCCACTACGGGAAACATGAGACCATAAATGGAGTTCCGGGGGTTCAACCCTCCTCCTGCAATTCCATGTTTTAGAGGCTGGGCAGAACTAAAAGGCCGAACAGATCCCCGTTCATCTGCTAGCTCGATGCACCCGGTCCCTCGTCGTCTTCTTCAAGGAGTCGTTGAAGCTGCTGAGCGTTTGCAGCATGTCCAGCTGCTTCGCCTCGACCTGCAGATTGTTTTGGGTGACCTGTGGAATGGATTCGATCACAAATTCTAGGGTACTTTCCAACCATTCTTTCCAGGGATCCGGATCTTTCTAGAACCCTGAAAAACGGCCAGTTTTTGGAAAGAACGATGGTTGAAAAGAATGGGGAATCAACCCCTAGACAAATGGGCTCCATTGGAATTCTACACACATTACGGCCCTTTGGTGCCAGCTGGAACTCACGCGTTTATTGGAACCTGATTCCCTGATTGATGTCTGAGGTGCAAAGGACAGCTCGCTGATGTTAGTGAAAATAACAAAATGTCTAGCCGGCATCAGAGTGATAATGCACATAGACATGTGGCCATGGGTCAAAATCCAAATCGTACCCCCAGTGAACATCCCAATCCCCACTAAAATAGACTAAAGTGGGTGGTGAATTCACCTACCCCAAAATGGTACCATTGGTTTTGACCCACAGCCATGTCAGCAAGGAGCATCGTCCATGAAACATGGTACACGGCAGCTTGCCTGCCACATTACACATTCACAGACTTCCGAGTGTTTAACTCCAGGGACAGAACATATTATCACAACTTCCGCTTCTTGTTTCACGCAACACGGCGGATCCCCTTGAGGGGATCATCCTCTTAGAGGATGAAAGCCGAGTGAGACGAAAGATCCTAATCAAACTTCGCAATGCATCTAGTCGAATTCAGCTATGACTGAGCTCTTGCGCACCATGGCCCAAGGTCATCCATCTTGGTTTAATACTTGCCTTGTCTCTACGTGTTTAGAACTGGCTGAGTTTCAGGTGGCTCCACGTAGAGAGCCGCGGATAATTCCTCATCATCTATTCCTTATGGCGTCGTGGGACGCGATTTCAAGGGAAACAACTACCATCTGGCCACATCTTGCGGCTTGATTTTGCGCAAACCCCCACTTGGGATAACGTACAATATCTATAACACATATATATATATATATATATATAAATATATATATATATATATACATAATAACGTTCTACTATACTTGTACAGGGCAAGATCGTTCCTTTTAGGGCACCCAGCTGGTTTTTGAGCTCAGACCGCCTTCCTCCTCCCATCACTCGTCCTCCTCCTCGACAGGTTGGCTGGCCATGGCTTTCATGGCGGCCTCCTGGGCAGCCTCGTGTCCCGCGCTGCTTCGGCCGGCCGCTTTTTGCCACCCAGAACCCGACCAGGGCGTGTCTGTCTGTCTTACAATAGGGGGGACCCTTGGTGTTTTGGGGGGGGTCCTTTTCAAACCAAGAATTGTGTGTCCTAAAATAGGGGACCCTAAAAAAATGCTGGGCTTCCTTTGCCCTCCCTTTCAAACCAACCAAAAAAGGGTGCCGTCAAAAAAGACAGACCCATGTGGGTGTGTTTTTCCTTCTGGTCTGGAGAAAACCAAAAGGAAAGCACCAAACGCAGGGTTGGTGGGAATATCACGTTTCCCCGTTTTGCCTTGGAGGTGTGGATTGGGTTCTTTAGAGGTATGAATTTGAGTGGAAGTGGACCGTTGCTGAACATCAAATGTGACAATGCATGCCCACCAAACATGCTGGATTTTTTTTCAACTATCAACCATACGGCCATCTATCCTTGGACACTCTTGAAGGCTCCAAGACACGTACACTCTGCAGAAGTGGGTTCCAAAAGAGGCGGGGCTTCAATGGTATTCAGAATGACAAGTGAAATCTTATCAAACACTATCTATGTAATCATTGAATTATACTGTATAGTGAACATTCTGCACATGTGTGCTTCAACTGTGCAGAACAGGATCCTGCCGGCACAAACGAGCAACGTGAGTGGCTGATTGCACAGCAAACCCCAAAGCGTCCAACTGTCTGTTGCATCTTGCAACCGGAATGAAGCGCGGTAGCTTGGAAGCAGCAAGTCGCGAATCCTGGGTTTGTAACCCCCACCAGTAACCCCCACCAGATTAGTCGGCCGGCCTCAGCTCTGCAATACTGAGCAACGAGAAACTGTCAAACTTCCCTAAAGTCAGTGAAAAGTGCTGTGTTTCTTAGCCTGGCCAGTTTTGGAAAGAGAGTATTTTTTTGTGTACCCCTTGTCCCTCAGCACAAGTGGTGGTTTGTCTTGCCACCTGCTCACTTATTGAACACAGCAGCAAAGCTCATAGCTACTCTTTGAACCGAGTTGCCCCACAAGGCCCAAGCCCCAAGCCCCCACTCTCAGAATGGCTCCCTCATCATCAAGCTCCTTATCTAGTTGCGTGTTAAGCAAGAACATGTGAAGACCACAGAGGGTGCCCTAGTAAATTCCCCAATGCTGGAGCGTTTACTAATTCAACATAGTCATCCTGGTCATCTTCACTGACAATGGTGGTTGATATCAAAGTAACATTTGAACACTCAACTGATTCTCAAAACGACCTCCAAGTTCAGAAAGCATCATCCAAGTACTTAGGTCCCATTCCATACCAAAGTCATTCAGAACCCACCCAAGTACCTGATCGCAGACGGGAGATGTTTGCACATGACCTCCCTGACTCCGGGAAGCGTATGTTTTCGTGGATGACTCCTTGAATTTAAGATGCGCCAGTCTTCGCACTGCTTGAAGCAGGGAGCATGTATCTGGGGGTGCCTGTACATACCCCTTCTACACAACCTGTGACAGAATGATCCTGACAGTCCTGCTGCTGTTCACAGCCCTCTGTCCCCAAAAGGGATACATCAACTCAACCAACCAAGGAACCAAGCAAACGGTATGAACAAGGTATGCCTCCACTCAAATGGCTGTGGCTCCAAAACATGTACTAAAATGGCACCTTGGTAAATGGAACCAAAGACTAAAACCTGCGTAACCCTTTCTCTTAAAGTTTGAGCCACACTCAAATGTACACTCTTCAGCCCTGCCTTTAGCTTGGCCTTCTTTCTCGCAGCTTCTCGCTGCTTGTCTTGCTTGTGGCAAATGTCCAAGTGAGCGCTCAGCCTGCAGAGAGGAAACCCACCCGATTCCACCCCCCACCCCAACAAAGTGAAGGATTTCCTCTAAACCTCCTATTAATCAGCCAGGGATTCATGGAAATCTTGGGTCGAACTTGTGGGATTCCGTCAACAAAAACCCGACTCGTACTAGTTCCGACTGTTGAAAGGTGGCCCAGTCTCTTTCTGCCTTATGAAAACGCACCGGGCCCGACCTGTGGTACATCTCATGGAAGAGGCCGACCATCCGCCCCGTGTCGTCAGAGATGCGGCTGCACTCCTCCTCCAGGAACGAGATCGACCTGGCAAGGCCAACCACCTGCCTTCTGGCTGAAGCTAGGCGCGGCAATACCATGGATGGCATGCGCGTGTCATTTCTGGCGTGCGGGCTTCAGCCTATGGAGATATGGACAACGTGGCCATAAGCGGCTCATGATACCCAGAAACAAAGTGCGGACATGGAGGTTTAAGGGGCCAAAGGACTCTAGAGACCCCGACATTGTAGCGACTGAGTCTGGTTTGCTTGACACATCAAGGAGCTTAGGAAGTGTGCATGCAGCACATGAAGGGCCATGCTGCGACATGTATGACTGATCACAGTGCCATTTGGAGTTTGGATCAAGATGGCATAGGACTCACAAGAGAAGAGAACATGCCAGGAGCCTTGAGCACGACAGCCAGCTGGTTGCTAGGATTCAAATCGTACCCCCAGGGAACATCCCAATACCCACTAAAATAGACTATACTGGGTGGTGAATTCACCTACCCCAAAATGGGATCCCATTGGTTTTGACCCATGGAACATTCAACCGGCTGACCTGCCTGTGAAATTGATCTGCCTGAGACAGCAGCTCCCCCGCACTGCGTGTAGCATGGCGCAGGCGCTTCACGGTGTCTGCCAAATCCTCACAACTTGTCATGGCCAAAAATTGGGGGTGATAGGGTCATAGAGGCATTTGTTGCCAGCAAGGTAGTCTTCAATTGAAGGGGGCTTTGGCTTGTCAAAGGCGACCCCACATCCCTGTCCTTGGCCTTGGCCTGGCCTCTCATGCGGCGAATGCCGGTTGTGAACTCCTGCCGGCTGACGGATTGAACCCTGTGGGGTTGACCATTCCCTGTGTGGAAGACCCACCAAACAAAAGGGAAAAAAGAAAGAAAGGATGCCACTTTAACTGGGTAACTTGGGGAATGCTGCAGTACACCAGTATCCTTTACCCATGTCAACCCTGGATCAGCAAGGATGGGGCCCCTTCAGGTTGCCTACGCGACCATCTGCCTCCATCTACTTTGACGTGCGTTGAAGCTGCGGCAAATGCTGCAAGCATGCTCAGCCCTTTTGGCTTGCAGAGATCCCTTCGCTCCCACCCCAAGGATTCCCGAGCCAGGAAGTTGGTAACGTGGTAACGTGCTTCCATTAGAGGCGATCCGGCTCGCCTCCTTCCATTTTCTGAAGCCGCCCGCACAAAACAAACATACTGTGGATGGACGAAATCCATTTTGCACAGCCTAAGAAACCCTGTTCAGCCCTTATAGCACAAGCAGCATGGCAAAACCTCACCAAGAGAAGTGAATAAAAGCTCAAATGGCTGCCTATCAAGCTTTGCGTACGCGTGTGAGAGAGCGAGGGCAAAAGACAAAGAGAGAGAATGTTGCGCCCCTCCAAATGGTACCATGTTGGTTTTCTTTCAGAAACTGCCAACAAAAATGGTAATGCGGATTCCGCTCTTCTGACCCTGTATGACACCCGTGAGGCGCCTTGATGGTCAAATGGTTGTCGCCATCGTCCAGGACGTACCACACCGCCTCGAGCTCGTTGGCCTGGACGCCCAACACGTCCAGCATCTGCCTGTGCAACACGGACCGTCGCAGGCGGACCGTCGAACGTGTCCTCCAAAGCGCCCCCCACATCCGAAGACATGGTACTGTACTATTCTCATGGACAAGAAACGAACGAACCCCTCAGACTCGAGTGAAAAACATCTTTGCGACAGCTGATACATACTTGCGACACCAGCCAACACCCAACAACACCCAACAAACAACACCCAACAAGCAACAAGCAACAAACAAAACAACAACACCCAACAACCAACAAGCAACAAGCAACAAACAACAAACAAAAAACAACACCCAACAACCAACACCCACCAACCAACACCCAACAACCAACACCCACCAACCAACACCCAACAACCAACACCCACCAACCAACACTCAACAACCAACACCCACCAACCAACACCCACCAACCAAAACCCACCAACCAACACCCTCCAAACAACACCCTCCAACCAACAGCCACCAACACCCAACAAACACCCACCAACCAATGGGTTCTTCGTCGTTTTCCGACCGCGTTGCTTCACTTTGGGGATGTGCAGCGCTTTCTCGAACTCCTCAAAATCCAGCTCCCCGGAGTGGTCCTCATCGATCTCCAGGAAGATCCTCGGAGCGGGAGCCCCGCGGTCGCTCGGTCAGAAGACGAGTCGCAGCGCTTTGGGCGTGTTTCGGGGAAGCCAAAAGAAGGCCTACCGTTTTCAGGGGGTCAACCCTTCCTCCCACTAACATGGCAACTGAAGGGGACCCGGTCCCTTCAAAAGGAAATTAATCTTCCAGGTACCTCCCCACAGGTGCCATGTTAGGTGGAGGAAGGGTAGCGCATTTGCGTTTCTTTGAAGGTAAGCCCTGTTTGGGTGGGTTTGAAAGGGACACTGAAAGGAAAACCCTGTTCATTTTGGAAGTCTCCTACAAAATAACACCACCCATTTGGCGATTGGACAGGTGCTATTTCTAGGCTTGGGCAGAGTTCACGCTACATTAGGGGTTGCACATTGGACGTTGCCGGCAGGCAATTCGGTTTGACTCATAGGCCACTCAAGGTTCATGAGCTTGCTGTCATTTGCCACGTATTGACAAGTCCCCGGATGGTGTTGGTGCTGTTCGATTAGCATAATCTTTACCAACTCACTCACATGATTGCTGGTGATATATCATGCATTTGGAGGCCTTGCTCAAACCCCCTACCAATGTTGCAGTGAACAAATTTGCCAGTGTGGCAAAAGGTAAAAAACAACTCGCAGGAACCGGCCTCACTTGGCTATTCGCAGCAAAGGCTCTGCGTCAAACTCTCGATCTCGGCCTTCTTGGCCATCTCGATCTCCCGCGCCTGCGAGTTGGAGTCCGCATCGGAGATGGCGAAGGCGGTCTCCACGATGATGGCCGTAATCAGGTTCCAGAAGACAAAGACACCGATGCCGATGAACATCACGAAGAAGAGGCAGTAGGGGAAGTAGGCGTTTCCATTGGAGGAGAACTTGGGATCAATGGTGTAGCGTGCGATGGTATCCGTCCAGGTGTCCAGCGTCAGCAGCTGAATCATGGTGTACATGGACTTGAGCAAGTCACCGAAGAGGAACTGCACGTTCACTTCGTCCACGAACAAGGGGCTCTTGCCGAGAAGTTCTGTGGCTGCCAGACCGCCTAAGTACAGGACGATGGTGGCAATCAGCACGGTCCACATCAGCGGCCGAAAGGATGTTGTGAGGCCGTGAATCAGAATCCAAAGCTCCTGTCACATATGCCGGCATTCTATAATGGGGGTCTACCCAAAACCATACCCAAAATCAACAAGGCGAAACCTACTTGCAATTGGGACTGTCTCCACTATTGTTTGCGTACCCATGCTTACAAAGCGTTCAAATGGCCTGCCACAATTTTGGGGCTCCCCCATTTGGGGGTTGATCAAGAAAGCCTTTACACGATATGGCCACATTTACCATGGGAGATGTTGCCCAGAATCAACACTGGGGGCCCTAAAGGGAATATTGATCAATGCCTACAAGTTTAACCTTTCGGATGGAAACTACCGCCAAACCCACCAAAAGCAACTAGGAAAGCTAAGGGACCAAATGGATGCCAGGTTGAGCCACCCAGAATTTTTGGGCTCCCCCTTTTTTGGGGCCAAACCCACCCCCGTGTTTGGGCCAAAACCCACAAAATCTCTCCTTGAAGGCTGGCCTCAAGCGCACCGCGCGGGCCAGGCGGGCCAGGCGCAAGGCCCGCAGCACGGTGAAGACCCGGATGAAGGCGGCGTCGATGCCCAGGGGGTCGAGGATCCACTTGGGGAAGACTCCGAAGACAAAAACCTCGGGTTTGTGGGGGGGGGGGGTGATACAGCTTGGTTCCAGCAAATCAGTGGGGTTTGGGGTCGAGGCATCGTTGTTCTAGCAAGGGGGGCGAGCAAATCAGCGGGGTTCGGGGGGTCGAGGCATTGTTGTTTAATCAACTGGGACATGACTCTTCTTGCCGCCGTTGCTTAGATCATGTTCAGCGCGGGGATCAGGGATCTTCATTTCATTTCGCTGAAGATTGGCCATAAAACGACACTTGGCTTCCTGGAATGCCCTACATGCAGTGCCGTGAAAGCCTGAGCCGAGTGCCAAGACGCCATCATGGTGTCTGCCATGTTGGAGAACTCGAAGATCCACACCCAACCGAAGGCGAGGACTCTCAAGGTCCATTCGATCAGGAAAAGACTCACGAAGACGTGCTCTCCGATATCGAAGAGCACGGCATTCTCCCCGTCCGGCAAAGATGCTTGCCAGCCGAGCAGGACGCAGTTGATGGCGATGAGAATCGCGACTCCGACCTCGAAGGACATGGATGCCACGAAGGAGTAGATCTCCGGTCTTGGGTTCGAGAAGTAGTCGTCCGCGCGGCGTTCCCGCTCTTGCTCTATCCTGTAACTGATCTGCAGTACACCCAGCAGGGCTCCCGCGATGTTCACCCACGCGGGGATCTTGAACTGCGCGTTCTCGGCCTGGGCGTTGATCTCTTCGGCCATCTCCCGCTCGATGCGCTCGGCGGTGGCTTCATCCTCCACTTGCTCCTGCTCCTTTCTCAAGCGCTCCTGCTTCGCGGAGAAGGATTCTTTCGGCGGCATGGTAGCGCAAGAGGTTTTCTCCTCTCTATCTCCAAGGACGTGCTCAGTACATTGGCGCTAACGCCATGGAAGCAGGCAAGATGTTTGTTCAAGGGGTGCTGTGCTACAGGGCTGCAAGGCTGGTTTGAGGACGACTCTGTGGCTGACTTGCAAAGGCTCAGTTGGGATTGCTTGGGACGTGTTGATGTAAGTATGGCTGTTGCTGCTGTCAGATTCTCGTTCTGCATGGCTGATGTTCTCTTTGAGGCATGTGGCTAGTGCCGCAGAGGCGCTTTCATGGAAAGCAGACAGCCCAACCTCCAAACCACCAGGACGGAAACAAGCTGCATCCATCTCTTACCTTCGATGGGGCATACCTGTGCCACTATTTGATCCAGGCGCTTCCCACCCGGTCTGCAACCATCCACTGCCTATCTGTTCCCTTGATATGCATTCAAGGCTGCTCTCAACATCTCACGCGCCTGGGTGTCCAACTCCTCCCTGGTCTTGTCGAAACCCTTGAGCTCGTCGTCATTCATCTCTGCCATGGCCTGGTGGTCATGTAAGACACAAGTTAGTATTCAATTTTAGGGAAGCAAGGGTAGGAAACCAGAAAAGAATGCTTCTTGGGGGAGGCAGCAAGCCCTGCCTTGCAAGCCCAGCCCAAAATATACGAACGGGTGTCTGATCATTTGCTCATTGCCCCTTCAAGCAGGGGACGACTCCGTAGTCGATTGAGGAGCACAGTACCTCATTTCAAGCACCTGGCCCTGCATTTCACACCTATCGCGGACCAAAGGAGATATGTACTTACAGCAGAAAACTAAAAGGCATGGACTACTGCGCTTCGCCAAAGAACAGCCAAACAGGATTTTGTTACAAGTCAAGATCAGCTCTGCACGACCAGCCAGATCTTCGATGGAATAGCTACGGCCCGGTGAGCCACCATCAGTGCAGAGAGAGGCATTGCTGTCTCAACACAGCACCGCGAGTTTGCAAAGCCAAATTTGATAAGGGGCGACGGGCAGATTTGGTTAAAGCAACAAATCCTTGTGGAAGCTGGTCCCTTCTCCTGCCTCAATGTGCACCAGATCAGCGGCACGCTCAAGATCCTTGAAGATGTACCTTGAACGCGTGTTGCCACCGGTGCCCGATTTGCGGTGGTTTCATTCTGAGAGTGCTTTCCAACAACTAAGAGCATGCGGATGGCTCAGAGAAACAGCAAGGGCACAGATAACATGCAGATCTCAAAGATGGCATCAAGAAACTGCAGGGGCCGTCAGACTCACTGGGTGCTTTGAACATACCTTAGCCTTCACATTTGATTTGCCCAATCCCAGGACCCCACATGGCATTGATGAGACAAGGGACCCCTCCCGCAGTGCAGCCATCGTCTCCCACTCTTCCTGCCATCATCGACACACTGACCCTGAATCACATGACATCTCGGGGGTCAGGTCATGAATCGTGCGATGGGAAGATGTTTGTGCTGGCTACAAGATCAAAAAGCAGGCGAAGCACACCGTGCCTTGCCCTGAATGCGATGCAGCAAGCTGTCCACATCGTGGTGCCACTTCGCTGCATCGAAGGTCTCCAGATCTCCGCTAGCGACGCTGGTGATGGCCTTGCATGAATAACTGGCTCTGAAACTGTCCTCCGAATATTGACCGCGCTCCTAGGAATGTACATTGCGATGTGCACATGGGTGTAGTGAGATAATCCAAGGCAAAGGGAGTGCAATTTGGAAGCCCCTTAACTCGCTGGTGTGTTTCCCCCGTAGGTCTCCAGGCTCGAGAACCGCTGCTTTGGGCCTACCTTCCCGCAGCGTTCCATGTGCAGCGGGGACAACCAAAAGCATCCGGCACTCTGTAGGGACAACCATCCAGGCTTGATTTGCTTGCACGGCGCCCGTGTTTTTTCACTCAGCCACATACCTGTAAAGCCGGCGAAGCCGGTGGGCGGAAGATTCAAAACTATAAAAGCCTATAACCATCTGCTTCCTTCTTGATTCTTTTTTTCCTCTTCTTGCAGCTGGTACTAGTTAACTCTCTTCTTTTCACGCTTCCCTTTTGTCCAGCCTCCTTTCTCTCTATCTGTCTGTCTATCTATCGACCTATCTGTCTGCTTCCCTATCTAGCTTGTCTCTCTCGCTCTCTGTCTATCTACCTGTCTAGAAATCTATCTACTTTCCGGGCTTCTTGTCTCGCTAGCTAGCTATCTACCTATCTAGCCATCGATCCACCTATGTTATGTATCTATCTATCTTGCCTCTCTCCCTCGCGACGTCTCTACATCTGTTTAACTATCCAATTTCCACACTTCCATCCATCTATCTATCTATCTTTTGTCGACTCTATCTATGTATCTCTCTCTATTTCTCTGTCTCTCTCTCTCTCTCTCTCTCTCTCTCTCTCTCTTCTGTCTATCTATCGATATATCTTTCTTTCTTTATTTCTTTCGTTCTTCCTTCCTTCCTTCCTTCCTTCCTTCCTTTCTTTCTATCTACCTTGAACGCGCCTGCCACAAAATCTGTGCTTGACCTTGCTGCCACGAGATCTGCGCTTGACAACTCTGCGCCTGCCATGACGAAATCTGCACCTGACCTTGCGAAAGCGCTGCGCCCGCCACGAAATCTGCACCTGACGTCGCGAAAGCTCTGGACGCGCTCCGAACGCGCTCTGACCAGGCGTTGGGATCAGGCTAACTTTCGAGCATCCCAAAGCACCGAAACCCGCAGAGGGTTGCACTTTTTGACATGTCTATTCCCCTGCCAAACGCGCACGCATTTTACCCCCGCACGTATTCTTCCGTTGTCATCTGTCGCAAAGAGCTAGCATTCAATTAGTTGGCGTAACACGGAAGTTCCGTCTAAACTTCGTTTGATGACAGTTGTGCATTCCCCATCCGTCAGAGTTCCTTGAAGTACAGGCGGAAGCAGCCAATTCCCTTTTTGCCCATCCTTAGGAGCAACTTAGTGGGTATTGCCAAAATGTTTGCAGGGCCCAATCATGTGGGATTGACTCTCAGCTCGAGATCGTGACTGGAGGTTGACGGACCCCTCCGGGGATTTGGGTATCAAAATAAGGGAACCCCCAACCTGGGTTTGCCAACCCGAAAAGGGCAGCCTCAACAAAACACACAAAAAATGCTTTAGAAATTCCGGGATTAAAAAAAGGCCGTCTTTTGGCTTCCCCTGAAAACCAAGCCAACACAAGGCACATGTGTCTGAGTCGGAGGCGTCTGTCGACTCCGCGCTGCCGGAGCTCGAAGAGCCGGAGGACGATGAGGACTGGCGATTTTGTCTAGGCGCTCTATGTGGCCATTTTGTCTATAGCCCCACTTGGCATAGATTGTGTATAGATGCAAAAGGAAGTCATGGAAGGATGCTGACCCAGGCACATGGTCCAGTTGTTTGCGTTTGGAGCCATGTTTACTGGTCTGTTCTGATATGTTGAAGGTTCGGCAGTTGCTAAAACTGTTGCCTGAGTGCCTCCCAAATCTGAGAGATTCCCAAGCGTTCTGCAGTTGCCCCCAAAAAAGAGGAATCATGCCAACCTTGGAACTAAGGCTTGGATGCACTTGCCGCAGATCAAGGGGCACGTGTCCTGTTGGAACGGGTTCCAAAATCATCGAAGCAACGCAGCCATCAGCTTGCACAGTCCGAAGCTTCTCACAGATCGTAGGATCGCGTTCATTTGGAAAGCCAATAGATTTTCGCATGGACGACTATCAGTTGGTGAGAATCGAGAGCACCAAGTCCCTTGGAAGAAACGCGCGATCCTCACATGGATCCTCGGTACCTTGAGCCTACGCATGTAACTCCTGCGGGGCAAGGCGGAGGCCGCCGCTTGCCATAGTCATATAAACGCGCCCCAAATGATTGAGTGAGCCGCAATCAACACCTGATATTAAAATGGTCGACCCAAATCCATAAGAAAAATTAAGAGGCGGCTGCATGTATTTCCGGCTGGGACTGCCCCTTACTAGCCTTCATTGTGGCTCATGTGTTTTCTTTCAAGATCCCTTTCCCACCTCATCACTGTCCGAGCCAGGCTCCAGGGGCGCTCCAACTGCATATTTCCTGCGTTCCTGACAGACTCAAGGAGCATTCAGTTCAAGGACGCCGCGCTGAAACGATCGGACCTCAATCACAACGACTTTCTCGGTGACCGGATTGAAATAGCAACCCACATGAACCAAATTTTGCTCTGGCTCGCTCTTCGCGCTTCTTTCCCGTGGCCCCTCTTCCAGTGACTCCACCGTCGCTCCTGGATGAAGTTGCCGCCCGTGAAGAGCGCCGACAAACGGATCCCGAAGTGCCGGGGATCCTGAAGGCGCTTTTCGCCACGAAACCCCAAAACCCGCCCTACGGGTGGGTTTGGGGGGCCCTAACCCGAACCTCGTGCGTGGTGGCCGGACATGCCCAGGTGGATTGTGTTAATGGCGACCGGGGAAATGGCGACGAGGAAACTCTGCCATGTCTTGTTAATTTTGTTGGAATGAACCCAGTGGCCATCAACCGGGAGTCGCAATCTTCTTGTCACCTGCTAGGAGTTGCCAGTGGCAATCCGTCAATGCCAAGGATCTTCAGCGAAGAACTGGCTCAAAGCAGACAGGCCTGGCAGCACAATTGTTGCCGCTGCCGTAGCTCTGCATGCAGCACGTGTATACATATATATATATATATGTATATGTATGTATGTATGTATATCTATATATATATTATAGAGAGAGAGGGTTTGTTTGCAGTAGCGAACATATCTTGTAATCGTGCGGTGAAGCCACTTTACCAACACATCCAAACTCTCGAACTCATGCCAGCCGCGCCAGCGGGAATGGTGTCAGATCCGCGCTTGCCGAAGGTGTATGGGATCCTGACAGCTAAAGAAATGACGCCGACTCTGAGTTTCCAAGCGCAGGTTCATCGCATCTTACATGACTTGCTTGAAAGACATGGCTGACACGTCTGGCAAGATATGTTTGGTCAGTATTGAAACATCTAATCCGGAGTAATTATAAAGGCCTCTTTCCGCTATCCGCAAATGCTCATGCGCAAATGCTATCCGCCTATCTCCCACAATCTCGCCGATCAGCCTCAGCTAGGGATCCGCCACCGCCCCAGTAAAACTGCCTGTGGCTGGAAGTGCATGGCCGTGATCTTCCATGCATCTGGGCCAAGTTGCCTGTCTGCTTCCAAGCTCTTTTCATCATTGTACCTTGGGTGACGGCTACCTCTGTCTGCCAATCTGTTCCCTTGTTCCGGAAATACTCGCCTGCCCAAGGTCAAGCATCACTCGAGCTGCTTTTGGACAAGTCCGTTGCAAGCCATCATGCGGCAGTTGTCTGGTTCAAGTACGACTTATTTGCAAGCCTTCATCCCCCGCTCGGAACGAGCAACGCCATCCTTTCCATGGATGGCATTGCCCGCTGAGATGGTCTCCACGGGGTATATTCTTCCATTTGCATAAGCCCCTTGGAAAAGATAAAAATGTGTCCAGTAGTGATCGAGTCCTTTTAAAACCAACAGCGGGAAAGGAAACATATTCTTAAACAAATGGACGTATTCTTATGCAGCCAAAAGGCGTGCCTCCCAGCGAGCCAAGGTCTTGCGCGATGCATGCGAGCTCGTAGGCTACCTGGCTCGTCTCCTTGGAGACCTTGGATCGACATCCAGGGTCCCAAAAATATCGCCAGTTGGACCCCCAAGGTGCCGAGGGAATACAAAGAAGGGGGGCGGTCTGGAGCAGTCCCATGGAAGAACCGTATCGAGCATCTTTGCTGAGTCAAAGAAGCGTCCAGAGACGCTCCGTGGGCGTTTCCCACCACGGAGCCCACGCCGCTGGGCCCGGTGCCTTGATGTACTCCTCCACCTGCTTGGCTGTCTCAGCCGCCTTTGCGGGCTCCACACCTACCAGCATCTGGTGAGAAGGGGTGACAAATGGCCATGGGTCAAAATCCAAATCGTTCCCCCAGTGAACATCCCAACCCCCACTAAAATAGGCTCTGAAATGGGTGGTGCACCTACCTCACAATGGTACCATTGGGTTTGACCCACAGCCAAATCAGAAATTCGGGCTTCAAACAGTGGATGCTCCCATTGATGACCCTTAAACCAACCTTGAAAGGGCGCCCGGCAACAAAAGGAGCAGGGGGTGCAGATGCAAAATCAAGCCAGCAGGCAGTCACGCTTGGCAGTCGATGCGAAGTCGAACGCCGCAAGCTCAACGCACAGCCGCCTTTGCCACTCCCGTGGCTGCTGACGGATGCTGTGCGCGTAGACATTGCGCATGTCGAACCGCCATGGGCGTAAGGCGCAACTTGGATGTGTCACCTATGTGGCCTGCAACACAAGGTGCTGCATGTCCCGTACCAGTAGGAAACACAGAAGAGTCTGCGTAGGCTGTCCTGCAATATTCAGCGCATCTACAGTGCTCAAAGCTTTCCATTTGTCCTTCCTTCAATGCCGCATGCCGGCGCAAGCTGTAAAGTCCGACTGACAGGCGAATATGAATGCAAGTCCAAGGCAACCTGCATAACTCGCACCACAGAAAGTAGGAACTACTTCCCTAGAATCCTGCCACAACTATCAAAGCTGTTTGACTGAATGTGGTCAAGCCTTCATTGCATTCAGATCTTAGAAAACCACTTCGGGACTTGCAGATTCGTCTGGCAGTACGGCATGTGCGCTCTGTGTGCGTGTGTCCGCCATGTATGGCAAACACAGCCGGTCCATCCCTACAATTGCGTGGTGGATGATGCATGTTGATGACAAGATAACAGCATAGGAAGGCATCGACAAATCGCAGCGTCGCGAACGACCCAAAATTTCCTCAGCTTCTAAGCTGGTTGTCCCACACCAGCAAGCTATCGGCCATTATCAAAGTGAGGTTGCATCGTCTGGATGCAAAACCTTCACACCTGGGTTCTCTCAGCTGCCTAGTCGGCCTCAGGTGGCCAACACATTGCTGATGTCGAAGGTGGTTTCCTTGTCCGAGAGTCGGAGGTAGTACCTGACCAGCCATCAAGCTGGGTAACGTGGATGAACGGACATCCACTTTTCGCAGACCGATCTGGCAGCTGGCCCAAACATGGGCGCGAAACATCGATGCAAATGTGTTCCTCCTCATGCGCGTCCAGGGCTCCGGCTCCTGTTTCTGGCTCTTGGACATGACCCGGATCCAGCCCGGCTTGAGCTTGGGATGCCCGGCCCAAATCACCTTTTGAAGCCTGGCGTCAGCTGCATCTGTAAGCCACGAGTTTCTCTTTGGCTCTGCATGCCAACTGTACACGGGAAACGGCGAGATGCAAGTGTGTGATTGGAAACAGCGTTGCGCTTCCAAGATCATTTTTAGAATCTTGTGCCGTTTCCGAGCCGAGCTTGTCAATCAGCATCGCACCTTCCCTAGGTCCCCCAGACTTGCATGGCGCAAATGCGCGAGAAACTTCCAGCTCAGCCTCCCATGCTCTCCCCGCTAATTTTCAGTGGGATCTCCCAAGTTTCTTTGGCTTGAGCCAACCTTGGGACAATCACCGCGCCTACCCCAGTCGTTGATGCACTGGGGCCAGGCCATGGTGTTCAGCACCTCCATGGGGTCTGTGCGGCGTGGCCTTTGCCCGTTTCCGGCGAATTTGCTGGGCAAGGACACGCAAGGTGATTCTAGGGGTACCTTCCATTTCCATTCTTCCCAGGGATCCTTCTTCCTGAAAATGCTCAATAATCCCAGGCAAAATGGCCAGATTTTTGAAAAGAATGGGGAATCAAGGAGTGGAGTGATGGGTTTTCCAACCTTGGGCCCTGACGCAGTCTGCTGCACCTCCGCCACCTGCAAAGACAGTGGCACCAGTCACATGTGCAAGCTTCGGGCAACCCGCAAAATGACGCGGCTTCCTCTCAGATTTCCTTTTCAATTAAGTTCCCGTTCAAACAAGAGAGATGCATAAATGAAAATATAGATAAGTATATACATATATCAAACCCGCGCTTATGGCCCGGACTGCTGGAGGGCATGTGAAGCTCTCCAGCTGCCTCCCGCTGCCTCTACCCTCAGTTCTTGAGGCTTCACCTAGCCCCCTTGCCCTAGCTCCTTGTGCCCAGAAAGCGGCCGTAGCTGTGGCCCTTGGCAGCTAAGCGGATACTTTCACGCATGGGAGGCATGAACGTCGTTTCTTGACAGCTGCCCAGCTTCCCCACGCCTGGCCCTGGAGTAAGAACGGAGATCAACAAGCCTCTGAATCAAATAGGCCCTTGTTAAGGCAGTGCGCAGCGTCGATTATTGTATATGTATACTTGCTGGTGCTCAGTAGGGAATGACCCAGCATTTTGGGAATGAACCTAGGGATTCCCCTACAGGAAACCATACAGGATGTTTTATAGGCGGTCATTCCCGCATTCCCTGAGAACCAGTAAGGCAAGTATACGTCGCATATCTTTGTTTCTGCTCCCTCCCCCCCTCCCTCCCCTCCATCCCCTCCATTGCCATCCCCCCCTCCCATTCCCCCCCCCCCATCCCCCCCCCTCCCTCCCATCCGCCCCCCGCTCCCATCCCCTCGTCGCTGCGTCGCCTGGGCCAGGCCGCTGGGCACCTCCCGCGCCAGGGCCGCCGCCTCGCTCCGCGACAGCTCCGTGCCCCCGCAGACCAGCAGCCGCCGGCCCCCGGCCAGCAGCGAGCCGCCCCCTGGCGCTCGAGGAGTTTTGGGGCGGGCGCGCTCGAGGCCCAGACAACAAGGGGAGGACTCCCGGGTCCCTGGCTGAGGAGGAAATATCGCGGCCTGTTTAACAATCAAATATTGAAGAAAGAGTTGTCCAGTGCGAAGTTTAAATCAGAATTCCAATTGTCAGAATGTAGACGGATACTTGAATACACCACAAATGCAACAACTTGCCCATGAAGGACAAAATTGGATACCGACAGATGGGGACACCTCACCCCCGGATGAAAACAAACGCATCCTAGAATCAGGGGGGTAGGGGGGAGTCCTCCAAAAGTGATTTGACCCCACGGGGATACCTGGTAATGTTGATCTATCAATATACCGATTTCCCTCCAGAAGTGCTGACACGCCCCCACTGAGAAGGTGAGGCGGCGGAAACCTGGTAATGTTGACCCGGAGAGAAAGTCCTTTTTGTTTAGGGCGCGATTGTCCTCCAAAGTCACGAATCATCGCTAAACAAGTGAAGGGTCAGAACAATGGAGGTAAGGTGAGGACACGGAGCAGTGGCAAAAAAACGGTAAATGACAAAAAAGAGAAAGGGCAATACATACAGGGCAAGACATGGCCGAAGCTTGAAGCTACATTTGCTTCGGGGGGGGGGCATAGGAGCACACCGAAAATTTCGGCTCTATCGGAGGGCCAGGCCCCGCCTGTGTCAAAGACCAGGAGCGTGCGAGTTTCCTTTTGGATTTCTCCGATGCGATCCAACGTCAGCCAAACGGCCTGCGCCTGTGCAAGGGCAAGGGCCGCGTAGAATGAGGTGAATCCCAAGGCAAGCCCCCAGAACGGAGGCGTTTCCGGATGTACCAGGTCCAAGAGGACAGTTTGGCAGGAAAAATCCAGTTGAAGATTGGAGCAGCCAGCTTGTGTCGGTTGTGACAGTGTCAAAATCATGCACCATCCAAGGGCCAAACTCTCCCGACTGCTCACGTCTGCTCATTGCCAATGTCATGCTCACGAAGCCGAACACATGAACTTTCCCAATGGGGGGCGTCCCCGTCCTCTGGCAGCAGAACCGGCAGCACGTCTTCTCGCATGTCGGCGTCCATGACGCTCAGGCGGCCGCCTGAGGCTGAAATCTCTTGATCGCAACAGCCTTCAGCAACCAGCCGCAAGAGATAGGTTCCCTTCAAAAGGCAAGGTGTACAGGTCACGCTGCGTCCAAGTCTGAGCTCTCAGAGGTGTGTCGGCAGCGTGCACCGAGAGTCTCCCTCAACATTCCCCGCCTGCTCTGAGGCCGAAGTTGGTCACATCCTTTCTGGACTCCTGGGCCCACTGCAAGTACTCCTGCCAGGCGCAAAGGGAGCAAGGTGTGCTTGGGAGTGTGCCTCCTCTCAAGTGGATCTGAGGTTTACACTCTGGGATTTAGAATCCATAATATACCTTCTCAAGATATTGTACATGTTCATATGATATTGCGACATGTCACGAATGCGTACACTCCAAATGGCTAGCAAAGCTGATGCGTGTTGACATAATGCCACTCAAGCCTTGGCGCGTTCTCTGTCCAGCTGCGTGCCGGCCAGCAGCAACTTGCCTGGCGACGTGTCTTCCGGTGCAAGAACATAACTTCACGCAAATCCGCTTCTGGGCAAAGCTCCACCGGGCATTCTACTTAACTGGCAGATGATGCTACTTCTTTACTTGGCATGGTCTCGGTTGCTTTCTGCTCCCCTGCTAAAAGATGATCTTTTGGTGGCTTAATGGAAAACCCCATGAGTGGGCAAAAAGTTAAAGTAACCTCCCTTGGCAAAATGCGCCAAAGCGGTTGTTTTACAGCGAGTGCTCAAGCAAAGTTCATGTGACCTGTCTCCAGGGCATGGGCTGCGGGAGGTTCAGCCGAAAGCTGGGCGCGAGTCTGAGTCCAAAGGCCAAGCGAGTGAGGGGGACAAAACAGATATGGCCGTGGGTCAAAACCAACGAAATCCCATTTTGGGGTAGCACCACCCGTTTTAGAACCTATGTTAGTGGGGTACAGGCTTTTGACCCATTGGCCATATGCCCTCTGGCCGACCCCATCACATCAGTGTTGGGCGGCAGGCGGACGAAATTGAAGATTTGGTGGCCCCCCCCCGTTGCCCAAGCGTGAAGTTCTCGGACGAATGAGGCCAACCCAGATATTGCACCTGCTGATTGCATCTCCTCCCAAAATGGGGATGCTCAGTAAACAGCCAGCAGCTGGTTCACTTGCCTGTGTCGGAGTCAGTGTCCATGGCTGTGCATAAGGAAACCAACGGGAGATAAATCATTGAAGGTGGTCTTTGATATTAGACACGCTCATCTGAGTCTTAGTACAAATCTGTTTGTTTCTCGATGCCCAAATACAATCAACAGAGGGATGTGCGCACCTTTTCCTGGTTCGGACTGTCCATACCAAACTTCAACAACCCTGAATGTTTACTTGCCTTCTATGGATGCTGCATGATTGTCCCCGGGGATTGTCAGAGGGGTTCCCTGCTTTTTCAGGGGTCGTGTGGTTGTGGCTGAGACTGGAATATGATCTGAAAATGCAAAATGTCAGAACCTGAATTAAGAATTAGATCCTCGAGCAAAGGACCAATATCATGCGCATTCTGATCTAGTGATAGTGAGCATTCGGAGCCGTTAGGGGTCTCCCTTAAAGGAAACCATTGGGGATGGTTTATAAGGGTCGTTCCATTTCTCATTCCCTATCGAACTAACCAGCAGGTTTTTCTCGGGGTCATTCCATTTCTCACTCCCTGCCTATCGAACCAGCAAGCCTGGTGACGAGGATTGACCCGAACCCATTCAGGTGACCCTAACTTGGTGGTTCGGATTCGGATTTGAACCGCAAGAGTTCTTGAGGCAAATGGGGTTTCCCACCCAAACGGAACGCCACCAAACCATCCATTCAGCTCCAAACACCATACATAATATCCGGAACGCCACCAAACCACCGATTCGTGACCCGTAACCTGTAACTGGTGGTTTGGATTGGGGATTTGGATTTGAACCTCAAGAAGTCTTGTGGGTACATTGGTCCATATCCAAACCACCAAAGTTGACTCGTGGGTAATTTCGTCCATATCCAAACCACCAAATTTGACTTGTGGGTTAATTCGTCCATATCCAACTAAATTTTGACTTCCGGGACCAACAATTTGACTTCTGGGAATAGTCATAGTCCCAATCCAGCTCAAAACGAGTTCCATTTCCTTGGACCATCGAACTTGAGTCTCCAAAGAGTCCAAGAAAAAAACCGTCCATATCCCAACCACCAAAAACTTGGCTTCTGGGAATAGTCATAGTCCTTAAAATGAATTCCATTTCCTTGGACCATCGAGCCAACCACCCAAAATTTGACTTCTGGGAATAGTCAAAAGTCCAAGGTAAAATCGTCCATATTACAATCACCAAAAACTTGACCTCTGGGAATAGTCAAAAGCGTCCATACTCCAACCCACCAAAAAATTGGGACTATCCGGCTCCAAATGACCTCCTGACATTCTCTTGAGACCCCTGGACTTCGCCCCGCAACTCTGCCTGGCACCAGCTGCATGGCGCAGGGCGCCGCCACCTCCACGGTCCGCAGCACGCCCGACTCAGCGCCGAGCCACGGGGCGTCGAACTGCTCCAAGGCCGCCACCTGCGAGGAAAAACGCCGGCAAAAAAAAAGTGCACAAGCATGCGTACTTGAGCACATGGTATGGGTGCAAGGCAGTTTCCAGGTGCAAACGCAGCTTTAAAAAAACACACACAAAAAACGGCGGGATGTCGCGGTCAAGGTCATAGCTGCAAGCCCAATGTTCAATGTGTTTTTGGGCAAGCTGATCTTGGGAAAGCAAGATTCGATTGGGAGTGCGGATTTGCATGCCGCCTCCAGGGAGTAGGGAAAGTCCTCCTCGCCCTGGCCATCCAGCAACTCGGTCTGTGCGTCCTGCCCGGTTCGATCTTCGACTCCCTCCCCCGAAGTCGTCGGAGGACTCGGCCTTATGCTCGCAGCGGGCCTGCAGAAGTGGCTTGAAGCGTATCCGAAACCTCGCGCTCGGAGTCTACCTGGGCTCCCTCCCCAAAGAGTAGCTTGGAGGATATGCAAAGGGCACATCGGTGAACCTTCTCCCTCAACTAGGCGTGCTCGGGTCAATGAACGGCCCGAGTAGGAAGTCGACATAGGCTTTCAACATCCAGCCAAAGCAGACCATAGAATTACAGCACACACATCCTAAATCATCTCACTAGATCGCAGCCTGGCAACTTGTCATCGCAGATTGCAGAAACATGTCCTGTTGGCCCAACTTATCGTAGCCAATTGATGTGAAGAGGTGGGGCCCCTGTGGTGTGGCTGCGGTCTATCTGACACACACTTCCAAAAAATCACTCAAGTGTTCGACTAACCATTTCGCAAGTTTCTGAATTTCATCTATTCAATTCAAACACTCTTGAAAAATATTATCCTCACACACAAAAAAACACACAAAAACCTTCGCCAGGTCCTCCCGGCTCCGCTTGGGCTGGGCTCAGCCGGCTCTGTTTCTGTCCGGTCCTCCTGCGCCTCCTCGCTGCTCCACAGCTCCGGGCAGGCGGTTTCCGCGGCGGCCATGGCGCGCAGGGTGCAGCTCAGGCGGCACCGCTCCGGGCCCAGCGCCAGCATCACGCGGCAGCTCCTCCGGGAGCCGTCTGCGGGAGGGGTGGCCGGGGAGCCTCGGGAGGGGTAGGGACGGGTCTGGCGAGTGGGGGGTGCTTAGTGGTTGGATATAACCAACTTAGGAGACTTATAATCATGAGTGGTTACTAAGTACCAGGCCCCTTTAAGTAGCCGAGGGAGGGTGGAGCCTAGGAAGGGGGTAGTCTGGCAATGGGATTCTCCAATCCAGATTCGGATTTGGGGGATTCGCGGATTGGTGCGATCCATGACCGGAAGTCTCCCCCTTTTTTGGCCATTGGAAGTGCCGGATGCGAGATTTGGATTCGGGGGTCACACATCGCGGATTCCAGTGGCGGATTCGGGAGTTCGCAGATTCGCACGCGTGGCCGGAGGGGCATCCCCTTTTGTTTGGCGCATGCGAACAAGGAGGGCGAATGAGCAAGGTGAAAGCAAGGCAAAAAGTCATGGGATCAAACACAAGCAGGAGGCTGGGTAGGCAGTAGTCACCATGAACAAAATGCCACAGCGGGGAAAGTGCAGGGGTAATGAGGCGGTTTCAGGCCAACACAGGTCCATACCATTGCCCTGATCCAAGCCTGCCTCAGCCAGGCTGTCCGAGAAGAAGCACCATCTTGACGAATTTGATCCGATGCCACCTGCCATGTTGGCCGCATGGAATGGTGCCCACGTGAGTCACAATCAAAACCCGGTATTAAAACGGTCGTAAGCCCAGAACCATGTAAAGAATTAAGAAGGCGGCGGCAGCTATTTGTCGCTGGGATTGTCCCTTACTAATGTTCATCTACCCGGTTTTGAGGACGTGGCTCACGTCATTTTGCCACAAGCCACAAGTTGGCGCATCCTCCATCGAAATCCGCGACCGTCCGAGCACCTCCCAGCCCCTCCTGCCCATAGGTGTCCTTTCAGGGGAAATAGATGGGTTTCCCTGGTAGATGGAAGAAAACAACCAGGTAAACCAGGAATCGAAGTCGATTTCTCTACCAACACCACCAAAAAAAAAGAATCCCCATCTATTTGTCCACCAAAACCACCAAAAAGGACACCTCTCACCTCCCGCCTCGTCCAAGGAACCGTCGTAGTCCCAGGAGATCTGCACGCTGTCGCCACTGCTGGAGATGACCTTCGCCTTGTACCAGGAGCCCCGGTACTGCGCCTGCCGGACAAATTCTAGGGGTAACTTCCATTTCCATTCTTTCCAGGGATCCGGATCTTTCCAGAAAACCACCAAAAACCCTTGAAAAATGCCGATCGGTTTTTGAAAACAACGATTACTAAAAACAAGAATGGGGAATCAACCCCTGGAAAAATGGTGGCCACCCACAGACCAAAAAAATATCATCGTTGGAACCCAAAAGAAAAATCGATGAAAGTTGGGGGAACCCCTTGGCTTCAAACCGAAACTGAAAACCGCGACGCTTTCGAGCCCCCACATTGTTGGCATCCGTGTGAGCTGGGAACCTCGTACACAAACACAAATCAGGACATGTGGACCCAAGCGGTGGAATCGTGTCAACATAGGGGTATAAACCATTCAAAATCTGTGGGGTTCCTTGTAAACCACGGGGTAAAAAGGGCACCCACCCTCAAAAGAGAACGCAAAAAAACATGAGGGCCCTTGCTGCTTGGTATTCAACAGGATACTAAAACAAAACCAACTATATGTGCACATGAATGTGTATTTCATATATGCATGTGTATATACTCATGTATACATACACATGATATATATATATATATTTATTTACATACATTACACATATATATATATATATGCTACCCCCGTCCCTGGTGCCTAGGTTTTGCTTGACTTCAGCCCGCAGGCTGTAGAGTTTAGAGTTTTTGCACTAGATTTTAAGCTCAGACTTTCCAAATAGGAGTTTACTTCAACTAGAATTGGAATTTTGAATATAATGTGGTTAGCATATAGTTTTCAAAAATGTGTGTCTGCTCAACATTGCTCAACTACAGCTTGTATAAGCAAAACCTTTCCAAATAGGAGCTACATGAGAATATAAGTATAGTTTCGGGCAAACTCCAACTAATTTTCAACAAAAGAAGTTGGGAGTTTATTCCCAAAATATAGTCTAAGTGTTAGATATAATCCAATACGAACACAACTCAATTAGCTTTTCATAATAACAATTAAATAGAGACTACTTTTCAAATTTAGTTCATATTAAATATGGCTAAGCATTTAAGGGACTTCTACAAGGAAATTTGAAATACGATTTGTGTTATTTATATCCTGCCTCTTTTGCAGCATAAGAAAGGTCCGAAATTAAACTTGTTAGACGGTGTTCCAAAAGGACATTTCAAGGCAAGAGAGGTGCAAATTCTAAAACTATTTCGAAACAGAGATTCTAGCTGAATCAGTTGTATTTAAAGTTCTATTTGCACATGAAAACAAAATTATTTCTATCTCAAAAGGCGGAGGTAGTAGATGAGCAAATGTGGAGAGGTAGTTCAAGGGGGGGTGACGGTGTGTGAACATACATACATGTGTATATATATATATGTATATACATACACACACACATATATAGCACCCCTAATCATCCCGCGCCTCTTCATAACATACTGTAAAATACAGTGGTTTTTGAGCATTACACCTACCTTTGTTTACCTCCTGGAAGAGGGTCAACATGCTTCCTAGCTAACATGAAGCAAACCGCTCACCAAAAGCACATGAAAGTTTGTCTAACTAATAACTTGAAAGTGTTTCCACTGGATCGCTAAGCACTTGAAAGTATTTTACCACTGGATGGAAAAAATCAAGATTGAAGATTACACAGAACACTTTCCTGAGAATTGTCAATCCTGGCCAAACCCAAACAACATTCAAGTTCTTCTCACACTTGAAAGTGCTTTACCACTGGATTGAGGATTCAATATCGAGGATTGCACCAACAACAACTTTCCTGAGAATCCTCCATCCTGGTCAAACCCCAAAAAATGATCAAGTTGTTCCAACACGTCGAACTTATTTCACGGAAAGCTTTTCCGAGAATCTTATTGAACACGGACAGTATTGGGACAAACCTGAATTTCTTTTATATTTGTTTTAAAATTATGGGATTCAAGATTCAAGATTCTCAGAAAAAGATTGTTTTTAAATCTTGAATCTTGAATCTTGAATCCCAACTTTTGTTTAATTAAAAAATATGGGATGCAAGATTCAATATTCCAGAATTCCAGAAAAGATTGTTTCGAAATATTGAATCTTGAACTCCAGATTGTCACATTGAACGTCTCCCAGCAATCTTGAGTCCAGAATTCTTAATTGTGGAATTGTGGAATTGTGGGGTATATATATATATACATTGTGTATGCTACATATTATATATATACACGACTTCCACTTAAAGGTTTTCGTTTCGCCTCGCCTCCACCGCGGCCCCGTTCTCCAAGGGCTCCAGTTCCCTGCGCCGCGGCGCGGAGCTCCCCGGCGGCAGCCAGAAGATCAGCGTGCCTCAGCCCGACGGCCCCTTTGCCCCGACCGAGGGCGAGGCTCAGGTGGCTGTGGTTTGGTCAAAACCATTGTGGTTGATCGATGCCATTTTGGTTGGGATTGATGAATTCACCACCCAAATTTTAGAACCTGTTTTAGAACGGGTCCCATTTTAGAAGCTCTCCGCAAGTGAGTCATAATCAGAACCCGGTATGAGAAGGAAGGTAAAATAAGCCCATGGTATGAGTCGCAATCAAACCGTGGTTCTTTGATCAGAACAGGTGAGTCGTAATCAAAGCACGGTCTAACCAGAACCATGTAAAGAACTAAGAAGGCGGATCCGCAACTATTTCTGGCGACTGCCCCTTACTAACCTTCATCTACCCGGGTTTTGATTGCGGCTCAGGTGATTAAAGAAGATTGGTATGACTCATAGCCCTATTTTAAGGGAAGATTGATATCAAGCGCTGCTGTGAGGGCAACCCGGGTGCAGGATCAAAAAAATATATTTACAGGGTCAAAAACAAATTATCTCGCCTGGGGGTGCCATAACGCTAATTTACATCATTTTCGGCCAACAGCGCGCGCATTTTACGGCTCCAGCTGAAAAATAGACACCTTCCAATACAAGCGCAGCACGCGAAGGTCACTTTGGCAGCTCCAGCTCGAAAATCACAACTTCTCAGACACAAGCGCAGTTCTATCAACGAATCTAGCATCGGTTAAATGCCTGTATGTAGGGTTGGCTTAAGGTTGTGTAGGGTTAATGTAGGTTGGGTTTCGGGTGGTTTTAGGTTGGCTTCGGGTAGGTTTAGGGTTGGTTTGCGGGTTGGTGGGTTTAGGGTTGGTTTAGGGTGGGGTTAGGGTGGGTTTAGGGGTGGTTTAGGGTTGGCTTAGAATTGGTTTAGGGTTGGGTTAAGGGATGGTTTAGGCTAAGTTTACGGTTGTTTAGGGTAAGTGTAGGGTAGGGTTAGGGCAGGTTTAGGGTTGGTTTAGGGTTGGTTTAGGCTGGGTTTGGGGTTGGCTTACGGTTGTGTAGGGTTGGTTTCAAGGTTGGGTTAGGGTTAATTTTGGTTGGGTTTCGAGTGGCTTGGGTTGGTTTAGGGTTGGTTTAGGCTGGGTTTAGGGTGGTTCTAGGTTGGCCTTGGATAGGTTTAGGGTGGGTTTAGGGTTGCTTTGCGTGTTTTAGGTGGGTTTAGGGTTGGTTTAGGTAGGTTGGCTTCGGATAGGTTTAGGGTGGGTTTAGGGTTGTGTTTTGGGTGGGTTTAGGGTTGGTTTAGGGTTTAGGGTTTAGGGTCGGTTGAAGTTGTAGGGGTGGGTTTAGGGTTGGATGAGGTTTAGGGATGGCTTAGGCTGGGCTAAGGCTTGGTTTAGGGTGGGTTTAGGTTTGTTTTGGGGCTTGAAGGTTGGTTTAGGGATAATCCTAGGGTAGGTTTCGGGCAGGTTTAGGGCGAGTTTAGGGTTGGCTTAGGTTGGTTTAGGGTTGGTTTAGGACTTTTTTTGGGGTGGGTGTAGGTTTGGTTTAGGGTCTGTTTAGTGTAGTTTTCGGGTGGGCTTAGGCGGGGTTTAGTGCCGGTTTAGCGTGGGTTTAGGGTGGGTTTAGGGGTGGTTGGCTTAGGGTTAGTTTGGGGTTGGGTTAAGGGATGGTTTAGGCTAAGTTTACGGGGGTTTAGGCCTGCGGCGGACCACGGGCGCCCTAGCAAACTCTGAGCGCTGAGAGCCGTGCGACGACGCGCGCCCGGCGGAACGCCTGTGGCACGCGAACGGCGGCTGCAAACGCGCCGCGGGCCGGAAAGCGCCTTCTTCCCATCACTCGCCTGCAGCGGCGAGCGGTTCTTGTTTCGACCCAGCAAAGAACTAAGCCCTGAGCCTGCTTCGGGCGCCCGCCTGAGGAGGGCCGCTTCCACCTGACAAGCAAGCAGCACGCTAGCGCGCGCAAACCAAGGCGCCCAAGGGCCCAGCCGAGCAAAAGCGCCGCGATTCGGCGCCGGCGCCGGCGGAGCTGCGAAGCTCCGCGGGTTCTGGGAGGACGCGTCGCCGCGCTTTGCGGCGGCCGGGCGCGAAATTGAGGCCAGGGCAAAGACGGGCATTCCGAAGCCGTTCACCTCGCGAAGTGCAAGGCGCCGCGCGGCGAAGCGCGCAGGCTGAGGTGGCGGCCCAAGTCGTGCGCCACGGGCGCCGCTTGAAAGTAGAGCCCTTGCTCGTCCAGGCGGGACGCTGGGGGCAAAGGCCCGCGCGCCCCGCTGGAGGTAGCGCAGGAATCCCTCGGCCTGACAGTCGCAGACCTTAATTGCTAGTCCGGGAAAGCCGTGGGGCCGCCGTGCCTCCTCCAAGTCTCCGCCGTTGGCCTTGGCACTTTCAGGCTGCGCAGTTCTCCTGCGCGGCTTCGAAGACTCGGCTCCCGCGCCACGAGCTCCGCCTTGTTTGTGGCCGTAGAAGAAACAATTCTTCAGCGCGTGAGGCCCGCGCCCATGTCTCGAGGATGACCTCGGACTCCGTGGCATCCGGCCACATCAAAATAAGGTCCTGAGCAGACAGGATAGGAGAGTTGAGAAAGCTTCTACGATTTCCAGGCCTGGTCGCTGAGGTCCTCCCACGCCTTACCCTTCAAAGAGAACATGGGGATCAAAGAATCAAACAAAGTAGAAGCAATCGGGATGTCTTGCACACGGCGAGAGCTTGAGTTGCTGAAGCGGCAGCGCGCGGCGCAGATTTGCAAGGTCGCGGCAAAACGCGGCAACTCGCCGCGAGTCTCGCCCGCTTACCAAGCAGTTGTGGAACTCGGGGTAACTTCGTGAAGTTTGAAGTGAGCGCCCCCTCTGTTCATCGACGTGCCCCCACGGGTCCTGCTTTTTAAAGAAATCGCGGTTTCGCCTTGCCATGTCTAGCATCGGCTGCTTTAAGCCGGGGGTGCAAGTTGCTTGTGACTTATCTAGGTTCAAAGACACTGCAAGGGCAACTTCTAGAGAAAACAGCGTTGGCGGTTTTTGGTTTTTGCGCGCGCAACGCGCGTCGTGCCATATGTGAAACATTTCTACGACGCGTGTCAGGCCAAATCTGCGCGCGTGTTCGCGCTATTATTTGGCTTATCTTCGGCGCATGTCAGGGAAACGTCGACGATGTTATGTTTGAAAATCAAGGTCTCGAAAATGGCACTGGCGTATCTTTGGCACGTGTTCGGGATGTGTCAGAGGAAGCGTCGAAGATCTTATTTGCGAAAGCGAGGTCTTAAAATTGGCGCTGGCGTATCTTTGGCACGTGTTCGGGATGTGTCAGAGGAAACGTCGAAGATCTTATTTGCGAAAGCGAGGTCTTAAAATTGGCGCTGGCATATCTTTGGCATATGTTCGGGATATGTCGCGGGAAACGTCGAAGACTTTTTTTTTGCAAAAATGAGGTCTTGAAGCGGGCGTCGGCGTTTCTTTGACTTATGTTCGGGACATGTCGGCGGAAATGTCGGAGATCTTATTTTGAAAAAAAGGTCTTAAAGCTGGCACTGGCGCGTCTTTGGCATATGTTCGGGATATGTCGCGGGACGTGTCGAAGACCTTGTTCTCAAAAAGTAAGGTCTTTGAATTGGCGCCGGCGTATCTTTGGCGTGTTCGAGATATGTCGCGGGAAATGTTGAAGACCTTATTTTCGAAGAATAAGGTCTTAAATTTGGCACTGGCATATCTTCGGCGCATGTTCGGGATATGTCGCGAGAAATGTCGGAGATCTTAAGACTGAGAAAAACAAAATAAAATTGGCCCCGGCGTATCTTGGGGATATGTCAGGGCAAATGAATAGACGCGCGCAAATGTGTGCGGCGCGCGGTGTTGTTCTATGTCCGTGGCTGTGTTATAGATGTGCTATTTTGACGTCAGACAGGATGCGTAGGCCTTTGACCTTGCTTTCCATGGTCTCTAGAGCGGCGCCTTTAAACTTAGATAACGTATAACTTTCGCCGCGCGCGCTAGCTTTTTTCAGAATGTGTAGCGCTCACCCCCCTTGCAATAATTGCTGGTTTGTTTACGGTGTGTGGATTTAGGTTGGTTTAGGGTAGGTTTAGGTTGGGTTTAGGGTGGTTTTAGGTTGGCTTAGGGTAGGTTTAGGGTGGGTTTAGGGTGGGTTTAGGATTGGTTTAGGGTTGGTTTAGGGCGGGTTTAGGGTTGGTTTAAAAGTTGCGCAGGGTCGGTTTCAAGCTTGGTTTGTAGGTTGGTTTTGGGTTGGTTTAGGGTGGGTGTAGTTTGGTTTGGGGTCGGTTTCGGGTAGGAGAGCAGGCCAGGAGACCAGCAGACCAGGAGACCAAGAGACCAAAAGACCAGGAGACCAGGAGACCAAGGACCAGGAGACAAGACACAGGAGACCAAGGACCAGGAGACCAGGAGACCAGGGCAGCAGGGAGCAGCAGACCAGCAAAAAGCAGGAGAAGGACACTAGCAGACCAGGAAACCAGGGGACCAGGAGACCAGGAGACCAGGACCAGCGGACCAAGACCAGGAGACATGGGGAGACCAGGAGACCAAAACCAGGAAATCAGGAAACCAGCAGACTAGGTCTCAATAATATGTTTTTGACCCCCTAAATATTTTTGGTTGATCCCCAAAATAACTGCTGTTTGATGCTCATCCCGGGCAACCCCTTGTACACCATTTGAGTGGTAATCAAAACCCTATGAAAATGGATGTACAGAATGAAGAAGCCGGATATCCGCAGCGATTTATGGTTGGGATTCTCCCTTAACCTTCATCTACCCGGGTTTTGATTGTGCCTCAGGTCGTTCTGCAGATGCGGAAGCTACACATGGCAAAAAATAGAAAGCGCGGAAAGGCGAGAAACTCTCGTGCATCTGGCTTCCCCGCTTCTCGTGTTATAGGGGGAAATGTCAAGGAGAGAACCTTGAGCAGTCCGTTTTCTTCCCGTGCCCGGAAACAACATCACAAAGGGAAGCTCGAGCCATGTGTGGGAAGGAAATAGAACGGACCGTCGAATTGAGAAACAACACATCAAATTATAAATACACAGAAACATGGCACTGGAAGTCTGTAAGGCTGGGTCGCACCGAGGCATGCTCGAGAAATTTGTCGTGGGCAATGCCTGTTTGCTACTGTGAATTTGCACTGTGCACGAGCATTCCCGAAAAGAAAACACGCACTGTCACACGCAGGGCTGTGTTCAATCCAGCCAAAACTATTGGCGCTGAGCTTTTCACTTCTTCGGCATGCGACAGGTGATGAAGATAGCCGTTCATGCGTGCCGCCCTGTCTCGACTCTCAACTCGCCATGCGGCCCGTCTCTTCTTCTGCCTGCCGCTGCATGGCCCGAACTGCACGCAGGGCACTGTTCGGGACTCGCAGGTGCACCGCCCAGTCCTGGACCGGGCAGCCTGTTTTCTTACTGGTTCTCAGCAGGGAATGAGGGAATGACCCTTATAAACCATCCCTGATGGTTTTCTTTAAGGGAATTTTCAGGTTCATTCCCTCATTCCCTACTGAGCACCAGCAAGGGTTGGCAATAACTGTCTCAACCGTACCAGCTGTCGCCACAGAAAACAATGCTGCCGCACAAAACAGCGGGGAACGACATTAATCTCTGAAGCTACGCTGGTGGCTGTTGCCGTTGCTACACTAGTCAGTTTCAACATCTGAACACAACCTTCATCAGGAGTCAACTCCGCTCCACATGCCGCTATGCTGAAAGCTTGAAAATGTTTGATTCCGCAAGCCATATACTGATGTGTCTCCAGGCCTTGCTATAACCCTTGTGAAATCAGGCAGCCAAACTACACCTTATGAAAATTCCCCGCAAAAGGTATCGGCCACTGCCTCCATAGCTCAGGGTCGTCATTAATGTTTGCCTCGCAAATCAGCTGGCAATACAGAGCAGCCTCCCTACCTCTATTACCCGACCGACCGACCGACCAACCAACCAACCAGCCAGCCGGCCAGCCAGCCCCACCCAACCAACCAGCCAATGAGACGGACAAACAAACGAATGAACAAAAGAACCAACAGACAGACAAACAGAGAGACAGAGAGACAGAGAGACAGAGACACAGGCAGACAGACAGACAGACAGACAGACAGACAGACAGACAGACAGACAAACAGACAAGACAGGCAGCCAGCCAGCCAGCCAGCCAGGCAGGCAAACAGGCAGGCAGGCAGGCAGGCAGGCAGGCAGGCACGCAAGCAAGCAAGCAAGCAAGCAAGCAAGCAATCAAGGAAGTAAGCAAAACAAGCACGCACGCAAGCAGGCAAGCAAGCAAAGCAAGCAAGCACGCACGCACGCAAGCAGGCGAGCAAGCAAGCAAGCCAGCAAGCAAGCAAAACAAGCAAGTAAGCAAGCAAGTAAAACAAGCAAGTAAGCAAGCACGCACGCACGCACGCCACAAGCACGCACGCAAGCAGGCAAGCAAGCAGGCAAGCAAGCAGGCAAGCAAGCAAGCAAGCAAGCAAGCAAGCAAAACAAGCAAGTAAGCAAGCAAGTAAGCAAGCAAGTAAAACAAGCAAGTAAGCAAGCACGCACGCACGCACGCCACAAGCACGCACGCAAGCAGGCAGGCAAGCAGGAGCAAGCAGGCAAAGCAAGCAAGAGCAAGCAAAACAAGCAAACGATAAGCAAGCAAGGTAATACAAGAAGTAAGGCAAGCACGCACGCAACCGCAGCCACAAGCACGCACGCAAGCTGGCAAAGCAAGCAGGCAGCAAGCAGGCAAGCAGCAAGCAAGCAAAAAGCAAGCAAAACACGCAAGTTAAGCAAGCAAGGGTAAAAGCAAGTAAGCAAGCACGCACGCACGCACGCCACAAGCACGCACGCAAGCAGGCAAGCAAGCAGGCAAGCAAGCAGGCAAGCAAGCAAGCAAGCAAGCAAGCAAAACACGCAAGTAAGCAAGCAAGTAAAGCAAGTAAGCAAGCAGGCACGCACGCACGCCACAAGCACGCACGCAAGCAGGCAAGCAAGCAGGCAAGCAAGCAGGCAAGCAAGCAAGCAAGCAAAACAAGCAAGTAAGCAAGCAAGTAAAACAAGCAAGTAAGCAAGCAAAGTTAAAACAAGCAAGGGAGTAAGCAAGCAAGCAAGCACGCACGCACGCACGCCACAAGCACGCACGCAAGCAGGCAAGCAAGCAGACAAGCAAGCAGGCAAGCAAGCAAAACAAGCAAGTAAGCAAGCAAGTAAAACAAGCAAGTAAGCAAGCACGCACGCACGCACGCCACAAGCACGCACGCAAGCAGGCAAGCAAGCAGGCAAGCAAGCAGGCAAGCAAGCAAGCAAGCAAGCAAGCAAGCAAAACAAGCAAGTAAGCAAGCAAGTACAACAAGCAAGTAAGCCAGCACGCATGCACGCACGCACGCCACAAGCACGCACGCAAGCAGGCAAGCAAGCAGGCAAGCAAGAAGGCAAGCAAGCAAGCAAGCAAGCAAGCAAAACAAGCAAGTAAGCAAGCAAGTAAAACAAGCAAGCAAGCAAGCACGCACGCACGCACGCCACAAGCACGCACGCAAGCAGGCAAGCAAGCAGACAAGCAAGCAGGCAAGCAAGCAAAACAAGCAAGTAAGCAAGCAAGTAAAACAAGCAAGTAAGCAAGCACGCACGCACGCACGCCACAAGCACGCACGCAAGCAGGCAAGCAAGCAGGCAAGCAGGCAAGCAAGCAAGCAAGCAAGCAAGCAAGCAAGCAAAACAAGCAAGTAAGCAAGCAAGTAAAACAAGCAAGTAAGCAAGCACGCACGCACGCACGGCACAAGCACGCACGCACGCAAGCAGGCAAGCAAGCAGGCAAGCAAGCAAGCAAGCAAGCAAGCAAGCAAGCAAGCAAGCAAAACAAGCAAGTAAGCAAGTAAAACAAGCAAGTAAGCAAGCACGCACGCACGCACGCCACAAGCACGCACGCAAGCAGGCAAGCAAGCAGGCAAGCAAACAGGCAAGCAGGCAAGCAAGCAAGCAAGCAAAACATGCAAGTAAGCAAGCAAGTAAAACAAGCAAGTAAGCAAGCACGCACGCACGCACGCCACAAGCAGGCAAGCAAGCAGGCAAGCAAGCAGGCAAGCAAGCAGGCAAGCAAGCAGGCAAGCAAGCAAGCAAGCAAGCAATCAAAACAAGCAAGTAAGCAAGCAAGTAAAACAAGCAAGTAAAACAAGCAAGTAAGCAAGCACGCACGCACGCACGCCACAAGCACGCACGCAAGCAGGCAAGCAAGCAGGCAAGCAAGCAAGCAAGCAAGCAATCAAAACAAGCAAGTACGCAAGCAAGTAAAACAAGCAAGTAAGAAAGCACGCACGCACGCCACAAGCACGCACGCAAGCAGGCAAGCAAGCAGGCAAGCAAGCAGGCAAGCAAGCAAGCAAGCAAGCAAAACAAGCAAGTAAGCAAGCAAGTCAAACAAGCAAGTAAGCAAGACGCACGCACGCCACAAGCACGCAGGCAAGCAAGCAGGCAAGCAAGCACGCACGCAAGCAGGCAAGCAAGCAGGCAAGCAAGCAGGCAAGCAAGCAAGCAAAACAAGCAAGTAAGCAAGCAAGTAAAACAAGCAAGTAAGCAAGCACGCACGCACGCCACAGGCACGCACGCAAGCAGGCAAGCAAGCAGGCAAGCAAGCAGGCAAGCAAGCACGC